CCTGCGTAGTTGAGATAAATAGTGCAAGTAATAATAGCGATTCTAATAATTAATTTAGAATATTACAATAGTTTATTGACTGTAATAAAAGGCTGTGATAACGTGTTGAAGTTGACGCGCTGGTGGGGAGGTGTCCGCTCGCTTGGGGTGTCCGCTCGCTTATGAACCACGTTATCCTTATTCTTTATACTATTTACTTCTTTACTTAAATTTACTATTAAACTTAAATAGCAAAAGGCGTAATAAAAATTAAAAGGTTTATCATGATTAGCTAATATAATTATTATACTACGCTAGCTATCGCTTTTTTAGTAAGTAGCTAAAAGCTTATTTTAAGCTAGTTTTTAGGCTATATAGAATACTAAAAATTAAGTAATAACGTACCCCACGGCTTCGCGAGCCACACGGGTTCGCGAGCCACTTTTGCCAAGCCCTCACCAAAACTACTACCCCACCCTAATGTCGCAACAACAATAGCAGTTACAGCCCTCTAGTGAATGTTAGATATAGCTTGCTCTTTAAGCTCTTAAACAAGATACGACTCTCTCTCTACGACGCGCTGCAGCTATCTATAACGTAGATTAAACAACACTAAGCCAAAGACGCGACAGACGACCTTTACAGGTAGATCGCTAGCCAAAAACAAGGAATCTAACTAAGTTTAAAGAGGACGTGATTGTTAAGCATATACTTAAGCTAGTTACGCGTGGATTTCCCCTTTAGCTTGCAGACGTGGCTAATATAGCTAATTCCTTGCGCGCTAAGCGTAATCTAGACTAGGTTGGCCAAAACTAGCCTAGTACCTTTGTCAAACGTCAATCTAAGCTTATGACGCATTTTAATCGCAAGTACGACTATAAGAGAGCCCTCTATAAGGATCCTAAGACTATCTAAGCCTAGTTTAACCTAGTAGCCCGCATAAAAGCCAAGTATGGTATTGTAGACAACAACACGTATAACTTTGACGAGACTAGCTTTATAATAGGCTAGATTGCCCCTAGAGCTGTTGTTACAGCTTTAGAGAGACGTGGACGACCAAAGACTATCCAGCCTAGCAATAGAGAGTGGGCAACAGTCATCTAGGGCATTAATGCGACCGGGTGGACGATTCCGCCCTTCATTATACTTAAGGCGCGCCACCACCTCTCAAGCTGGTATAAGGACGGCGATATACCCCAGAACTAGGTTATTAGAGTCTCTAAGAACGGCTAGACGACTAATAAGCTTAGTCTTGCGTAGCTAAAGCACTTTAATAAGCATACAAAGACAAAGAAAGTTAGTATCTACTGCCTACTTATTATTAACGGCTATAAGAGCCATAACTCGCTAGATTTCCAAAAGTACTGCAAAGATCAGGGTATTATCACTATTTGCATGCCTCCGCACTCGTCCCACCTCTTGCAGCCTCTTAATATAAGCTGTTTTGCCCCTTTAAAGCAGGCCTATAGGCGCCAAGTCAAATCGCTCATACGCAGCCAGATCAGCCACATCACCAAACAAGAGTTCCTATCTTGCTTTAAGCGGGCTTTTAACGCCTTATTTACAGCTAGCAATATCTAAGAAGGGTTTTAAGGCGCTAAATTAGTCCTATTTAACCTAGAATAGGTCATATCAACGCTTAATATCAAGCTACGCACTCCATCACCCCTACCTATCAATAACTAGCCCTAGGTGTCGCAAACGCCTAGCAATACCCTAGAATTAGGGTTGCAATTAACGCTAGTAAAGCAGAGGATTTAGAGGCATACGAATAGTTCGCCAACGTCTATTATAGAGGCCTTTAAAAAGGTCTTAAAGGGGGCAGCGATTATCGCGCACAAGCTAGTGTTGGCGCAAAAGGAGATCGCTAAGCTTAAAGTAGCAAATAAGGCCGCAACGCAACGAAAATCGCATAAAAGAAAGCGGGTTTAGGCGGAGGGGACCTTAACAGTTAAAGATAGGGCGCGCTTAACTGCTCTCTAGGACTTTAGGGTGCGTAGTAATAGGAAGAAGTTAAAAAAGCAAAAGCGCGCTAAAGTGGGTGAACCGTCTTAACGGCGGTGTGGACAGTGCAATAGGACTAGGCATAACGCGCGAACTTGTAAGAATGTAGCAGAAGTAGTCTCTAAATAGCATTTTGTATTTTATTGCACTATATTAGCTAAAGTTAGGCTATTTTAGGACATAATGTACTAGTTTTGGTGAGGGCTTGGCAAAAGTGGCTCGCGAACCCGTGTGGCTCGCGAAGCCGTGGGGTACGTTATAGCTAGTTTTTAAGCCCTACTTTTTTTAACTTTTATAACTTCTATTTTAGCGATGTAACACTACTAGATTTTTATTAATATACTAGCTATCTTTACGCACTAGAGCTTACTATAGTATAGCTATATTATAGTAAGTAATATAAAATACTACTAATGTTTTAGCCAAGCCTAGTAATGCAGACCTCTGCTAAGTGGTAGGCTAGATAGCCGCTTAGTGGTAGGACGAATAACTTTTGCCCAAACATCACAAGTGCCTGCCAAGAGGCCGAGCCGACATGCGTGGAAAGCCCAGCATTCTTATCTACTTACGAATGCTGCCGAACCCACCAGTGTGGTTTACCTCATGATGGATAAACTCTGAAACACTGATTTTGTTTGTACAGTGCTAGTGCGATTCAGCAGACTTGCTCTGTCAGCAGGCTGCAAAGCTTACCAGAGGCGCATGAGCCTTGCAATAGCCAGGTAGTAAAGTTTGTACCAAGTGGATCTATCCAGGGCAGCATCACAGTGCAGAGGACGAAGGTATAGTCGGGCAGCGGAGGAAAAGACCAGCCGATGCAAAAGACGTCGGCCAGGGCAATACAACTACGACTAATGCCTGACAGGCATTACAGTAATAAGTCGGACAGGCTGACTGGGCCGTCCATGACACCAGATCACATGATTGCTGACTGCGCCGCGGAACCGCGGTGCAGGTCGAGCAGGCTTATTAGCTAATTGCTTGGAAGGCTTTGCATGACAACAAGTGGCACTTTTATAGGCCTGCAATTTCTGTGTCGTGGCGCCGTCAAGAAGAGAGGCTGCGCTTTGAAGCACACTAATGGCATGGCGGGCAATTGCTGGGCACATGTCGCTGGGAGCATGTCGTTGGCGCAAAGTATATGAAGTCGTCCAAGAACGACCGCAAAGCCGCCACACGCCGAACATGGGCCAGATCAGCAAGGGCGCTTTTCCCGCGGCGGCGACCGGCCTGGGGGTCGTAGAGAGATCAATCCTGGAGCTAAAACGAGGCCTCCCGTGAGACTGCATACGTAGGTGTATGACATGACAGTAGCGGCAGTTGAGCAGTGCTGCCGCCATGGACCATGTACAGTATGTGCGAGCAGCAGGCAGCAGGCAGCAGCAGTAGCAGCAGCTGGAGCTTCAGACGCCAGGGCGTGGCAGTGGCAGTGGCAGCGCCATGTTGGTCGTGGGCATGCGGGTCGTCGTTTAGCCGTGGCTGTCAGGAGCGGCAAGAGTCAGCAGCGGGCTATGGGGGTTTCGTTTTGGGCGGCTGCGTGCCTCTTGTATCGTGGTGCGACACGCCTCGAGCGGTTTGGGCATGTGACATGACAGGCGTGTCGTGCAGCGGGGCTCAGGCAGGGCATGGCCGGCATCCTTTGAGGGGGGAAATAGGCATGGCGCAGAGAATGCCAACGGCGGGCCGTCAGTGATAAAGCTCAGCAGCGCCGCGGCCACGTCCTTTTGGGGGCCGCAAGGAGCAGAATCGATAACCTCAGCCCATTTGCCGGGCAGCCGGGAAATTGCGCGCAGCGGGGCGACTTGGGGACATGGGCGTCGCCATGGAGGGCAGCAGAGGCGGCCAAAAGGATGTGTTGCGAGGGTGTTGGCGTGCTGCAGCTGCAAAAAGAACGCGCCGGGGCCTCTGGGGCGGCGCGCTAGGCCCGTTTGGGCGCAGCCTCCCCTGCCAAGAGAGCCAAGGCCGTGCACGTGGGGCCCTTCAGGCGGCCTAACATGCCGCCATCCTTGTTCCTGTCGCCTTTTTCTCTCTCTGCCCTCCAGGGGCAGCCCTCTTCCAGCACTCAATGCCGCTGCACATATACACTCCCTCTCATACGACACACCCACACCCACACCCACACATAAGTACACCCACACACACACACACACACACACACACACTCGCCTTTTGCCAATAGCCCGCCGCCCACGGGCCACACGTCGCATGCCGCCATCGCCGCCCTGCGTGCCCTGTCCGGCTCGGCGTCTTTTCTGGCTGCTCTCCCGCGCCTTTCCGTGCTAGCTCGGGCAACACCATGGCGACAAAAGAGCTGGGTCGTGAGAGTGGAACACGCTGCGAACAGACCGCCAATCAAAGTGGCATTTTGCGAGCGGCTAGATTGCCATGGAACAGGAGCTCTGCCGACGCTCGCGCGCACTGACACGGCTGCAAGGCTACCTCTGCAAGGGCTGTCTGGGTCCCAACGGTACCATCCATCCAATATCGTTAGTGCCCTCGACCCAAACTTCTTTTCCGGGCTGCACCGCCGCCGTGATTGGCCTCGATGCTCGCTTGCACGCCATGGCATTCAGACCCAGCATGTCCACTCCGCTTTTAGATCTCAAGCATGCGCCCCGAATCACTGAAGTAGACGCTAATCGCCTGAGAGAGCTACTACGCCCATTTTCTTTTCGCTCCTCGCTCCCCCCGTCGCTCGTTGTTTTTCCAGGAGTTTACGTCTTCAAGCCCATCGTTACTGTGCTGTGTGTGTGTCTCTTCGCACACGTCCTCTCCTTCTCAACAATCGTCCTGTTGGTCTGGACATATTTTCTGCCTCGGCCTGCCATTCGTTTGCATTACATTCAAGATCAAAAAAGTTACACGACTAATCACGACAAACACTGCCCATTTGCACCTTTGCCTGGCCCTGAACAAGCTACTCCAGTGCGTCTTCCGCCTATCCTATCGTCGATTGATAGCACTCCCGGATCCACACATCGTTTGCTTGGGCGTCAGCATCTGCCACCGTAATCACAATGTCCAACTGGTTCGGAGACTTGGATTTGGCATACAAATATGTGTAGGTTACCGCACCCAGTGGCTAGCCAAACTGCAGTACTAACCCATACAAGCCTTGTCTTTGTGAGCTTGCTCGTCATCACCATTATTGGTGGATTCATCAAGGTTCTCTACAACCGCCAAAAGTATGTGCCACAACACAGCCAAGGTTGCAATCGCTTACAGTAAAAAAAACAGGCTGAGGAAGGCTGTAAAGACGGAACTGGAAGCTGGACCCAAGGAGGACACGGTCGAACTGAACCAGCGCGAAAAGGATGAGGGAGACTTGTTTGGCATCCGGGCTATCGAGGCGGGTTTCTACGCTGGTGTTGCCCAGTCGCGTCCTACATCAAGAGCCGGATCCGTCATGAGCGACCATGCCGCTATGAGCAACAGCACTCTGGTGGGAGGCAGCGTCAACTCGCCGCTCATGAAGGGCCAGTCCAACAACAACAGCACGCTCAGCCTGAACCTCAATGCAACCAGCGACTCAACCCGCCGTACCTCGCCGCCCACGGTGAAGCTCCGTCCCTCCGAGGCCGAACTGACTGGACGACACCACATGGTCGACATGTCGCTTCAAGTGCCCCCGTCTCCCGGCCTGCCTCGTGGATCGTCTTCGCCCACGTTTGACATGTCTGACAACGACCATGATGACTTTGGGCGGTCCTACAGCCCGTCTGGCCAATCGCCGTACAACCCGCCCACGGGCAAGCTGCCGACGATTCCCAACATTGCCATGAGCAAGGAACGCCGCTCGCCATCGCCGGAGAACACTTACCCTCGCGTGCAGGTCCACGAGCCGAGTAGGTAGCCAGTTTCCTGGTGCGTGCTTTTTGTGTCTGTATTTTAGCATTTTTAGTATATACGTATTTTGGGTCAGCCCTAACTCTTGTCCAAGACTATGCGCCTGCACTGTCATTGTCCGCTACGCCTGGGCGAGTCGAGCCGCAAGCATACTCGGCGCAGCACGAACGGGGCGGAAGCGATGCGAGCAGCCACTACTACAGCAGCGCCAAGCGGGGCTGGCACGAGGCGGATGGGCGCAGTGCGGAGCGCCAAGTGTCCGTGTCGACGACAATGTCCGGTGGTCGGACGTCGTCGATATTCGCATCGGTTGCTAGCGACGACGAGCACGAGCAGGGACCCACGCAGCCGCCATCGAGCACGCTTCTTGTCCCCGCGCCTGTGGGAGGCAACGACGGGCGGTTGAGCGAGTTCTACGAGGCCTACTACCGCAACGAGCACTACCGCACCGAGCACGCCTTTGATCGGCAGTCGGCCATGGGCGACGACGACGCGTCGCCAGCAGCAACGCCCACCGTCTTCAAGTAGCCCGGTGTGCACGCCTGTGTGGCCATGGCCACGGCTGGAATTGCGACACGACGAGCATGGGGGGTTGTTGTTGTGGTTGTAGGAGGACGGCATGGATGCATCAGAACCATACTCTGGCCGCTCCTTGGTGTTTGTTGTGGTGGTGGTGGTGTCGAAGGGGTTTGCTTTCTCTCCTTGTTTCTTTTCTCTTTTTTCTTCAACTGGATCGGGGGTATATACAGGGGGACACGGACACGGTTGGGGGGAACGGACCGTGTCGGGCACTGGAGCAAAAAGGATTAGGTGACGCGACCGACGTGCACCAGCTACAGCAATACACACAGGCAGGGGAAATGGCACGACATGACGGCCCTTTTTTTCCCTTGTCCTTTTCCCCCGGATTGTTGCTCTATACCTAGACTTTGTCCCTACACCGGTACCAGTTCTGTCTCTTATTGTAATTTCTATTAGCGTCGTCATCTGGATAGAGAGAGAGATGCGCAGCAATTGTTCCGTTGACGCGTTCACAATGCAAAGCCTCCAAGGGGGACCTGTTTCCAAGATCTTGTTTCATTGGGGTGTGTGCGTGGTGATGGGCAAGAAATCAAGACAAAAAAGGCCATGATGGGGTGAGATCAAGGGCATTGGTGGGGCCATGTTCACGCCACAGTGACCAATGAACGGGCGCGGTGGGGAGGAGAGCCCCTGGCAGAATCGGGGGCGGAGCGGTGAAGGCGATTCGACCCGTCGACCGCGAGGCTTAAGATCTTGGTTTCGCCACGCCTTGCCTGCGACCCGACGTGCGCGAGCGAGCCTCGACCAAGCATTTTTTTGCCCGAGCATTTTGTCTGCGCAACACAATTCCCCCTTGCGTCGACGATTACGCCACCTGCATCTGCCCGCCGTTGCTTTTTACTGACATCACGTCGCCTGCGGGTTTGCTTTGTTTGTTCTCGCAGCCCTTCGACCACCACCGTCGTCACCACCACCTCCACCACCCCCATCACCACCGCCACTCTCAACGCTTTCAGCCGGGCCCTCGACCAGGCCCATACCCGCCGCAACCATGCTGACCATGTACTCTGGCAAGAAGCTCGCCGAGCTGCCGCCTGGTGTCCATGCTGCGCCTTCTCCACAGCTGCGCGCAAGAGGCGCCTCGCCCCAGCCTGCCCCCACGTCCGGAGCCACACAGACATGCGACTCGCGCGAGGAGAGGCGGCGCGTACACCACGAGGGCGATATCGTCATTGTTGGCGCTGGTGTCCTGGGCTGCGCTGCCGCCGTCGCATTCGGCAAGCAGGGCCGCAGCGTCATATTGCTGGAGAAGAGCTTGAAGGAGCCCGATCGCATTGTCGGCGAGTTGCTGCAGCCGGGAGGCGTGCACGCATTGGAGAAACTGGGCATGAGGGGTATGATTTTTTTCAAAGCGTGTTGGGGCAGAATGCTGACAATAATCTCCAGACTGCCTTGACGACATTGACGCCATCCCTTGCTATGGCTATCAAGTCATGTACCACAACGAAGAGGCGCACATTCCCTACCCCGACAATCTTATCAAGGATGCCTCCAAGCCCCCCGAGGGCCGCTCCTTCCACCACGGCCGCTTCATCTCCAAGCTGCGCGCAAAGGCAAAGGCGACGCCCAATGTCACCCTCATCGAATCCACCGTCACATCGCTCGTCAAGAGCGACCACTCGGGTCAGGTCGTGGGCGTGTCATGCCAGACCGACGGCAAGCAAGACTACTACTTTGGCGCCGTGACGCTCATTGCCGACGGCTATGCCTCCAAGTTCCGCAAGGAATACATCCCCCACCAGCCCCAGGTCCGCAGCAAGTTCTGGGGCCTCGAGATGATTGACGCCGTGCTGCCCATGCCCAACCACGGACATGTCATCCTGACGGATGCGCCCCCGATCCTCATCTACCAGATCGGCACCCATGAGACGCGCATTCTCATCGACGTACCTGAGAACCTGCCCTCTGCGGCGCCCAAGAACGGCGGCATCAAAAACCACATGCTCAACGTGGCCTTGCCCCGCCTCCCGGCATGCGTGCAGCCCGCCTTCCGCAAGGCCGTTGAAGCTGGCAAGCTCCGAAGCATGCCAAACTCCTTCTTGCCCCCGAGCACCCAGAAACAGCCCGGTCTGATCATCCTCGGCGACGCAATGAACATGCGCCATCCGCTTACTGGCGGCGGCATGACGGTCGCCTTCAACGACGTGGTACTTCTGTCATCCCTCCTCTCACCCTCCAAGATCCCCTCTCTCGAAGACTCAAACGCCGTCCTCGAAGCAATGAGCTCTTTCCACTGGCAACGCAAAAACGGCACCAGCGTCATCAACATCCTTGCCATGGCCCTGTACTCGCTCTTTGCCGCAAACAACGTCTACCTCGAGCTCATCAAGAAGGGTTGCTTCAAGTACTTTTTGCGCGGCGGCGCCAGCGTCAGCGAGCCCAGCGGCATGCTGGCTGGTTTGATTACTCATCCCTGGATGCTCGTCTGGCACTTTTTCTACGTGGCCATTTATGCCATTTATGTGCGCCTCTGCGAAGTGCCACTGTGGATGGCACCGTGGACCCTGTTTGTCGAAAGTTTCATGGTGATTTGGACGGCGTGTATGGTCATTGGACCCTACCTTCTTGCCGAGACAAAGAGCTAGTTATCTTTGTTCAACATTATCTCTCATGCATGGTATGAAAGAAAAAAGATGGATAAAGATGATATGAGCATGAGTGAGTAAAACCATGAGCATGAGCATGAATACCATGATCAACGGGCAAGTATAATGTACATACACCTTGTTTTTTTTTCATATTCTTCTAATTCTCTTCACTACGCCTGGTTCGGAAACGCGGCGTTTCTTGTAAGTAACTATCTTTGTTTGGCATTTCGTGGCGTTGAAGTTTTAATACGCTTATCATAGCGCTTGAGAGCAGGTGAGAGAAGGAAAGAGTAGATACTTAATTCTTATAATTAATAATACTTGATATCCTTGACTCGTCGCAAATATATCCAAGAATGAATGAGTGTGGTGTGTTCTCTCCCCCCCCCTTTTTCACTCTGGTCTTTTCTTTTCATATACTTCCTCGTTATTATTGTTATTGTCATTATTGTATCGTTGTCGTGTCATGTATGTCGACTTTGTAGAAAACAACACAAGATATCCATCCCCCGTTCTATGTACCTGAAGTTAGCCAGATACCTTGTCTACCCATTCCCTTCTGCCCAAGTCTTCTCTGCTCTACTACTCTTCTTTGATCCTCTATCTATCTATCTATCTATCTATCTATCTATCTACGCAGCTCTAAACTGTATCCAACCCTCATGCTTGCATCATACGTATCTACCTTTTACACTCTACCATCTCCGTTTCTACATGTAGATAGCTACAGCTAGTCTACTACAAATACACGCTCTTACTGATATGTCTTACTTGCTTACTTAGTTCCCTGGTGCTATACGCGTTACACCATGTAGTATGAATATAAAAGTAAAAGCAGAAGCGAAGAAAAGGTAGAAAAGAAAAGAAAAAAAAGACATAATGTATTAGGTTGATAAAATCGTGTGGTTGTATCCCCCCCCCCATGCCGCCATGCCGCCATTCTCCTTCATCTTTCTATTCCATCTATGCATGTATTTTACTTTGCCTTCCTGCCTCGTCCAGTTCTCTCCTGTGCCAGACCTGTGACGTCTGGATACCCCCCTTTCTTCCTTTGCTCCCTTGCTGCTTCTACGTGGAAAATTCACAGATCGTAGTGCCGTGTGCACGATGGCATAGCGTACGTAGCATGTATTCGTAGGGAGGGGGGGGAAATACCAAATACTGGTTTATTACGATTATGATTATACAAGTAGGACTGTGTAGTACATGCTACTACACGTATATATAGCTAGTGGAGCTGAACTGTGGTAGTGTGCAGGATTTGGTACCTCATCTTTCTTCTCTGTGCATTCCTTGGCTTTGCTTTTCCTGCACGACCATGCTATGCCTTTTCTTTCCTTGCCTTGCCTTGAGAACGCCAGATCAAAAAAAGGGGAAAGGATAGATGGGATGTAGATGACAGAAGGTGATGGGTGAGGATAGACTGGCCCGATGGCTGGCTGGATGAGTATGCAAAGGAATACTGTGGCATGTGCCCTTCTCCCTCTCTGTCCCTCTCTCCTTTTAAATATGCAAGATTGGATATTCAAGGAAGATTAAGACATGAGGTGCTCGTTTCTCGAAAGAGAGAGAGAGAGAGAGCAGGAAAAAAAAGAGACTGAGAGGTAAAGGGGAGTGGAAAACCTACCATGCATATATGTGGATAAAATGCCCAGTGTAGACTACATAGCTAGAAGATTGGAGAAGATTAGAGAAGAGATGGACGAGTAAAGAATCTAGAGGGAAAAATATTAGAACCAGAGTAGGAAGACGAAGGAGAAGGATAAGTAAGAAAAAAAGCTGATCGTTTGCATGGTATCATCCGAAAAAAAATGAACATCATAACCAACCAGCCAACCAACCAACGGATCCAGTCCAGTCCAGTCCAGTCCAGCCAGCTCCGATGATTTCAAAGGAAACAAAAAAGTTGGGTTCAGTATTAACAAGAAAAGAAGAAGACACAAAGAAGAAGAAGAAGAACAGAACAACAACAAGGCCAAAAAGCAAATACCCTGACAACCAACCAACAAAACGAAATAAACAAAAAAAGAAGAAGAAGAAGAAGAAGGCGGGTGACCCAAGTCCCAAACTACCGGGAAACAATAAAGAGAAGAAGAAGAAAGAGAAGAAAAAAAAAGCTACGGTTTTTGTTAATCCTCATCTTGCTCTTGAACCGCCCCAGGGAGAAAAAAAGAAACACGAGTCGCACCTTCTCTTCAACCCTTCAAAAAGAAAGAAAAAGGCTCTTAAAAAATCTCCAACCCCTCAAAATCGACACAGAGATTCCTCGCACCATAGTTATTCTCGTTAGTAATACCACTGCCATCGCCGCCAGCCGCACTCCTCCGATCAAACATGCTGACGCCAAAATTCGCCGGACGACTAGCGTACACGCCCACGCGCACTGCCTTGTCTTCGACGCCCCAGAAAAACCACGTGACCTCGCGCAGCTTCTTCCAGCCGAGCATCTCGTCCTCGTACCAGACCCACAGGGCGTAGCCGATGCGCTCAATCTTGACGCGGAGCGTGTAGCGGCGCTGCTGGTGCGGCGGCAATGCGCTGAGCGACCAGTCTGCGCCTTCGCTGTTTGCAACTACCGACGTGGCGTGACAGGCGTTGTTGCAGAATTCCAGGCCGACTTTGACCCACTTGGAGGCTGGCGTTGGGGACGAGGGATACGCGGGAGGGGGTCCGCGGTCCAGAGGTCGTGCTGCTGGTGCTGGTGCGGGTACTGATGCCGGTGGTGCGCTGCCGGCTGTACCAGAGTCTGCTTGTGCCGTTGCCGTTGCCGTTGCTGGTGCTGGCGTCATGCCGTTGAGCATCCGAGACTCCGAATGTGACGTGGCAGGGCTCGGGCTCGCCCTGTCCTGGAGCACAATATCCGCCATGTTGGGCATTTCGACTGATGAAGCCGCCGCCGAAGCCGCCGCCGCCGCCGCCCTGGCCGCTGCTGCTGCCATCTGGCCCGGCGGTGAACCCGCAAATATCACCAGACCGCCTTGGTCCCATTCAAGCTCCCAGTCGGCAGAGACAGTCACCTCGGCGGCTATGAAAGGATTGCGCAGCGCCGTGTACAGTATCGGGGCGGTTGATACATCGCCCGACGGAGGCTTTCTCCACAGATCGGTATTCGGAGGCGCGGCCAAGGTAAAGGACCCCAGCCATTCGGGCACGGCGTCGTCTGGGACATTGAGAGGCGTGAAGGAGGAGCTCGCGGGCGGCATCGTCTCGCGTGCTGGCAAGGGGGAGGCTCGGGTGGTCGGAGGCGTCGCGAGCAGTGCAGAGAGAGCAGAGATGGGCGGTTCCGGGCACGTTGGCTCGTAGTGTTGAGTAGTTGTTGTTGTGTAGCTTCTGTGTGACCAAGCGCGGAAGGTCATTCGCTTTGGCAAAAGCAAGGGTCCGGCTTATGTCTGGCTTCGGCACCAAGGCAAGTCACCAGAGATCTGCAAAGAGGAATCGAATCGTGAAAGGCGCCCGCGCGCGGAAATGCGTTTCTAGGAGGCCTATCGCACGGTCAGCACCGAAACCGTTTGGCATGTCACAAGCGCCCCTTATACGCCGCGCATTCGTGTGCGCCTCCGCACCCTGTGGCGTAGACGCGCACACGTGCAAGCGCACTGGTCCTATATGCGCCTTGCTCACCTGTCGGGTGCAAAGCGGCGAAGAGCGCGATTGTTTGGTCCTTCTTCAGCTCCGTCTGTCTGGTCTTGCGGTACACGCTATGCGTCTTGAATCATGGTCCCGGACATGCAATCGACGATGCCAGTCTTGCCGTGTCCCAGCCAGCTCGATGCTGCTTCCGACACATGTATATATATATATATATATATATATACATATACATACGTACGTCGACGTGGTTCACACTGCTTGGCTCGCCGCCTAGTCGGCCGGTACTGTTCGTCCAAGCTGAAGGAATTGCCGCCACCGCAGAGCATCCAGCAGCTACCGAGGCATTGCCATGGCAGCGCGAGGCGGGGGCGTCAGCCAGTCGCTGGCATTGTCGTGCGTCGGTCCCAGCGAGTCCCTGGTAGAAGAAGAGCGAGCATTGCTCAGAGTCGACGGCCGCTGATGCGCTGGGTGAGGTGGCGGAAAGCGATTTCTCAGCCCCGCGCTGCGCTGCGCCGATGAGGCGCGTCGAAAAATTCTTCTCGCGGCTGAACACGTCGAGCCAGGGCGGCCAACCGTCGTTTCCAGCTCCTTGCAGCCGTTGCATTCCAGCACGCTGGCTGAGATCGAGGTCGTGTCTTGTCAGGGAGGGGGGGCGAGATGCAAGAGTTCGTGGCAAGGCAAGGACGGCGGCGGCGTGCTGCAAGGTTTCACGACAGAAAGATATGTTTTGCATATGCCCTTGCAATTGCATAGGCGCGCGGTATCATTGGGGCTTTCCCCCGCATACGTAATCGAAGCAAGCTGCAAATCTCGCCCCAAAGGCGGCAAAGACCGATGGCTGCCATGCCCATTGCGCCCCTCGAGATGCGTGTGCATTGCATTTGTCGTCGCCGCGCAGCCACCGTACAGTAGGGCTGCCGTGTGTGTGTGTGTGTGTGTGTGTACTGGCGACATGTATTGGGTACCATGGCATCTTCGAGTGGCCCTATGCAAGGCCCCGTGATACCTCGACGTGGTCTCTTCCATCAAGCAGCTATCCGATGGTGCGTTGTCCATTGTTGCTGCAATGTCCCGTCTCCCAGCAAAGACATTCTACCACCATCGCCAGTGCTGTACTGATTCCTTTCTCACCATCCCGTGCAACCCTAACGGACAATGATTGCAATGCGCCATTGATTCGACTGTCGTGCAATGCAGCCAACACGTCGGATTCCGATGAATCTAGCATATCGACAATAACCATTGAAATCTGGACATGGCTGCTTTGGTGCCTGTGAAAGCCGGTGTTGTAAATCCCTGCTGGATATCAGCATACGTTGACCTTGGAAACAGATTTTCGAAGCACCAATGTCACATTACGAATCATATGCCTCTGGAGAAAGAAAAAAAAGGGAAAAAGGGGGAAAAGGGGGGGAAAGTTGGGAATTTTCAGTCCCAGACGCTGCGACAACACCAAGACTCCAGTTCTAGCTGCGACATGGCTGCACTCTACTGGATATTTCTCAAGAAAGCAACCCCACAATGGGCCAAGCAGAGTGGCCACCGAATGCGGGAACTGCTGCGAGCACCATCATCGCGCTACTTTGTCTATTTGGGCACATTCCAGCGTGCGAAGAGAGCCCTTTGCATTTTGGATCAATCAGGCAGGTCTATGGCTGCTAACTGGCTGCACTGCTTACTCCGTCGGCATTCATAGGTCAATCATGAATCAAACCAGCAGTAAATGTCGCAACGAACCCAACGCTCCCCCATCATAGGCTTGCGCAAGACATCATGTGTTGGGCGGCCAGCAAATCAAGCTTGTATCAAGGTATACTGCTTCGGTAGTACTCATAGACTTTAATCAGCTAATCACCGCTGCTGACATGGCTTTGGCAAACCGTCATGATGCCGCATTTTTTCATTGGACCTCTTTGCCGATTTCAAACTGCAGTGCCGAGGAAAAGCTTTACACGGTGGCGGCCACTCCCCGAAAAGGTTGGGAAGCTGTCTTGCCGACTGATTTTCGAATACGTCGCAGACCATGGTTTGGCAACTTGTAGAACCTGAGCGTCGGTGAGTCTAGCGTCGCATCCACACCCGGCTTGTGCGTCAGCCGGGATAACCTAAGGTTTGCTTAGTGGATCCCCTTGGGCCCATGATCTGACAAAGTGGTTCGGTGAAGAGGGATATCTGGCACATGTCAAAACCTCCGAGCGCCGCTACCGCTAGCTTGGAGGGCACCCTCGTGACACCACTAGCGCAGGCTTGCGACATTGACTAATATGTGCTGCTATCTGTCAGAGAGACGGTCAAGGGCGAATGTCACCGTCCACGATGAATTATTATAACATAAACCTCTAACAAGGCAAGTGACATGGTACGAATCCGCGCAATTCCTGCTTGTTGGCCGATCCTTACTGCATGGTGTCTACGATCGTACGATAAGTGAGTTCGAAGAACCTGGATTGGTGAGGAGAAGGATCGGCAGACAGGGTTCAAGGCCGGAGATAACTCGAGTACTGTGGAACTCGGCTGTGTCGATTAGGGTCTGACATACGATGCTGTCGAGCCGTTGAAAGGCGTGCTCGGGGATTAGTGTGGTTTTTTATGGACAAAGAGGGACAGGATCGCCGGGGCGTGGAATTACTGTGTGCCATGGTAGCTATCGACGAATCAAGGAAAGGTTGCAGAAGGATAATAGAAACCGGTTAGAACATCATCTTCTGGCCAACATCATCGTCCACAAGTAGTACTAGAGTTTGATTAGATTACTTGGACAGCATGAAACAATGTGACGCTGCTGCATCCCTACCAATATTCGTTGGGGAATTATGGCGTGGTCGGGCGGGCACAAAACATTCTGATACTTTGATGAGGTTGTGTTGGCGAAGAGACTTGGTGCCTGACACATGGCATGATGCCGTGGTCAAGCTTTCTGATACACGTTGATCCGGCGGGGCAGGGCGTCGGATGAAGCACAGAGATGGAGGCCTTGATCTTGGAGGAGTTTGTCAAACGAGCCTGGGCGGAACTTGAGATTATCCAGGGCTTGCTTGAAATGGGGTGCATGGTTGGGGCGAACGGCCTTGAGATACGAATCCCAGGGCTGGAGCTCAATGACAAGATAGCCGCCAGACCGGAGGGATGACTTGCACCTGGCGAAGAAGGCGACGAGGCCTGCGTCGCCATGCTCCAGATGGATCCATTTGATGACGGATAAGGCTAGGATCAGGTCATACGCTTCTAGATCCAGGCGGGCAGTGGGCAGGGCCCAGTCTGCGGCGAAGAAGTCGGCGCGAGGGCAGTCGTCGTCGTCGTCGTGGAGAGCCAACGCAGGCGACGCCTTGGGTGCAGCCTTGCTTTGGGGCTCTACGCGATAGCCGTGGGCTAGGACGGCCGAAAGTGGGAAGTAGTCGACCACTGAAGCCGAACGGGCAGTTGGGGGCCGACGACGGGAGGCGCGCAGAGCGTAAAGCTTCTCGGCCTGGCCAACAAGGCTGGGGTCAATGTCGACGCCGGTCACGGACGCGGCGTTAAAATCGAATGCTGCAACTTGGTCAATATCAAGCAGATGGCTGTCATAGTCGGCTGGATGGGGGGCGACCGGGGTGTGCTTCCTGCACTTACCGACTTGGACACTGACGCTACCAGCGTTTGCGCCGATGTCGAGACAGTGCTTGGCGGTGAAGATGGCCGGGATCAGCGTCACCAGGATTTGCAGTCGCGGGTCGAGGATGTGTGTGGCCGAGGCTGGCGCTTTGGAAACCCCACTATAATCTGCGGGAAGGAGTCAGCAGAGGCAAATTGGGGGGGATGTGGGAGCGAGGGCAAGCTGTGCCGAGGCGCGGCCGCTTCGAGTAAAAGCGAGCAGACGAGGCGCCGTTCAGGGCAAAACTTTGGCTGCACGTACCAAGATAGTTGCCAAACCTGGCAGCCATGGCGGCTGAGAGGGACTGGGGGGGAGGTTTGTCGCGGGGACGGCGATCGGGCCTGCGAGGGTTCTTGGCCTGTTTGGTGCGGGCGAGTGGCGATGGCAACGTGATTCATGCGGCGTGGAGCAGCAGCAATGCGTGGGAGGCGGTAGTGGGAGGCGGTAGTGGTAGTGGTAGTGGTAGGGTATGGTATGGTATTGGTATTGGTATTAGTATGGTAGGGCAGGGCAGGGTAGGGTAGGTGTATTTGGATGGATGGATGGATGGATGGGGGCATGGGAGAGAGGAGGGGGGGGGGTGGTATGGTGGTAGTGGTTCGTGATGGTGGGCAGGCGAGGCGAGGCGAGCTGGGTAGCCGGTGGGCGAGGTGCATGTGGGGTGTGGGCGTGGCTGTGATTGGGCAGCGGGCGGGCGTGGCTAGTGAGGCGTGGCGGGTGGCGGGTGGCTGGAGGCGAGTGCTTTTTGCTGTGCCTTTGGCTCAGGCTTCGTGGCTGGCCACGCGGCGGGCGGATGGGAAATGCAAATGCTCGACTTCAGACGCGCATAAAGGGTCCAAGATGACAGGCAGTCTGTCAGCGAGGCCAGGCGTGGGTGTGCTGCCATTGTCCATGCTGCGTAATACATGGTACATAGCACATACATACATAGCCACATAGTACATGGACATAGGGGGGGGACGGGCCCGAGGAGCAGCGAGTGAAAGCAGCAATGCGCCCGCCCAGCGTCGCACAGAGCGGATGTGACGAGGCCGGGGGGAGCGCAGGTACGCCTACGCTGGCAGCAATAGAGTCGTTTCCATTAGGGGCCCTGCCGGGCCAACGATACGACTGTAGGAGGTGGTTGCGCTAAGGGGGCGAGGGCGTCCGAAAAGGCGGCATGTGCCAGGGTTACAGTGCAACATTGCCCACAGGGCCATGGCAGGTCCCGGGTCTCGGTCTATAGGCGTCGTCGACTATTGCATACCACTCCCTGCGCGCTGCGTGTTAGCCGGCGCACGGAGAAGTCGTTCGAGCGTCGTGTGCCACACAGGCAGAGAAGGCAGTGGGAGCGAGAGGGATGCCGAGTTATTGCTGGTCCAGCACACAGCCCAACGGCAGTGGTCGGCCAGCCCCCAGGAGCTGGCGAGGGAGCGGCGGCGGCGGCTAGGCGGCGGCGACGACGACGACGACAATGACAATGACAATGACAATTCCAACAACAACAACTGCCGCAAACACCCATGGCTGTTCTCGCCCATGGTCTGCCCACCTTGGCCGTTGTCGTAGTCGTCGGCCTCCATGTGTGTGTATGTGCACGGCATCGTCAGGCGGCGGCTGCCTGGTCGCCAAACAAGCGAGGCCATTTCGACATGCCCATACTCGCCTACCCTCTCCTCCTATCCCATCCCCTTCCATCCCCTCCCTCCCCTCCCCTACACAACACGCACACACACATACACATCCGCACACGCACACGCACACGCACACGCACACGCACACGCACACGCACGCACGCATCCACCCACCCCCGCCGTCGCCCGCCACCCCTCGCTGCCGACAACCAGTCCCCATCCGGTGAAGCTGTCTCAGGCCATTGATGGACAGGCGCATGAGACGGCCTCTGCATCGCGCCCTCTTCCAAAATCCCGGAATTGGGCAGACCCGTCCGGACTGGGTTCATGGCGCACAAGCTCATGGGCCCTGGTCGATAGTATAGCCCATCGACAGCGACCGTGGCAGCAGACCCCACCAAGCAGCGCGCGGAGACGGACAAGAAAGGCATCGCAGGGCAGATCGCTTTTAGCCGCAACACGCCGCCTCGCCATTGGCGCCCCCTCCCCCCAGGCTGCCCTTCTGACAGATGAAGAAGGCCTTCAAGGCTCTTCCCAGCCTAAGCTGCAGCCACTCTTTGCACACGACGCCGAGCACTAGGCCGTTCGACTCGAGCCCTCTATCTGGACGTCGCCCGAGCGGCCCTGCCGCCCCAGCCATGGATGGAGCTACGTGATATCTGGCATATTGCTCCATATTGGCTGCCCGCCGCGTTACAGCGTGCGACGCCCTGGCCTGCCCGTGATTCCACACCCCCCCAGCTGCGCCTTGCGAAACCCGCCCGCTGTTGTTTGTCAAGTCTTTTTACCCGGCCGCCCTCGAGCATGCGTCGTGACTGACGCCCACGAAAACACGCCGACGCCCGCAGCAAGTGGGCGCGCTTGAGCGAGCCCGTGTGAGACAGAGCAGCGAGCGAGACTGCCTGCCGTGGCTTGCGCACTGCCCGCTGCCTGGGCCACGCCAAAACCATCTCACGCCTCGTCTCACGCTCAGTCTCGTCCAAAATGCACTGCTGCATGTGCCTGCGAACGCGGTGAAGAGACAAAGTGGATGCCCGCAGAGACCAGCAGCACATGCGTCAGCTAGCCCGCCCTCTTTGTCGCCCTTTGCACGCGTCCATGTCCACAGGCAGCCAAAAAAAAAGGATGTGGACAGAAGGGGAGCAATGTAGTATGAATCAAGCACGAATAAGCAAATCAAATTCATATCACATACACACACACACACACACACACACACACACACACACACATCCATACATACGCACCCATAATCTCGACGCTGGCAAATGGCTGCAAGCAACCAGCGCCGCCCTTCACATCGCTTCGCACCAGCCCACACGTCAGAATCTGGGGGTCCACGACTAGCCGTCCGCCAAGTTCGGATCCACACATCACGCAGCATCCATCGCTGCACTTATCGCTGTCCTGGTCAGATTTTATGCTCCGAGCCGGCTACGCTTGACGGTTGGCGTGAGGCTTGCCAGTGAACAGGGTGCCTGCGGGTCCGCCCCGGTCTGCATCCTGTCCTCTTCCCGGGCGGCCGTTGTTTTAACGCGTCTGGGCGTCTCTCCACCTTAACGTCGCCATTACTGAAAAGACGCTGCCGGGCGGCGATCTGCCTGCTGGCGATCCAGATATGTACAGGGCCGCCTACAAGGGCTCTTCCGTTATAAACCACTCATGCCGCCACACTAACAGCAATGCCTCATTCCTGACGTCCTGTCCAACTCTGCACCACGCCCTGGCCCTCCCAGATTCTGAAAAGAGCCTCCAGTCTGAACACAAACGTGATCCAAATGCGGCTTCGTGCATCGTGTCCTGCCCCGGGCAAATAATAATACACGCATGTCCCAACCACCTTCTCTCCCCCCACCCCCGTTGCTCCCTCTCGCAACATCTGCTCGACCGCCTCCAAACATGACCGAGACGCAGAAGCCTCCCGTCTTCTCGCCCCCAGGCTTTCTCGACTACTCCCATCGCCGCCTGCCCCCGCTGGAGATCCCGCCAGACGCTGTACCACCACGGCCGGATCACCACTTCCGCTCCCCCATCAACAAACTACCATCGATTCACTCGGGACTGCCTCCACGGCACGACTACCCGCAGCCGCCTCCCACACATAGACCATCAGCCCTCGTGGACAAGTTGTTCCAGCCTGCCAATCCCTATACCCCGCCCAGGTCCGACCCACCCTACTCCCCCCAGCAATACGGACCACCCATTTCACCACGATCAGAGTATGACAGCAGAGGGCCGCGAAGACTGCCAGAACATCGCTATTCCTACGAGGAACACCGTCATGTTCAGCACCATGCGCATCCTGAAAAAACATACTCGGCACTTGCTTCGCCAATAGAATCATCGCACCAGAGAGCTTACGCCCCTCTCCCCTCACCTGGATACACTCCCAGCTACGCGTCAAGCAGCAATCCGTATCGAGGCTCTGTCGGTTCGCAGCAACATGCGCACTCGCAGCGGGGTTCCATAGCAGGGCCCATTGGCTCGGTTCCATACCCAGAGTCTTCGACAGCTGCTGCCCCTCCAGCCCGCAAACCACAGCGGACTATCCCATTACCGGGCTCCATACCACAGCCCGTGTACAACGAGCAACTGTAAGTGTGTCCCTTTTCTGCAGGCCGAGGCGAAGCTCAACTGACACATGCAGGAACCTCAACTATGAGCTCCGAGTGCGGCAGCAACCCATTGCGGCGCGAGCGTGCGGGTTCGGCGAACGCGACCGGAGGGTGATTGACCCTCCACCCATCATCCAGCTACTTGTGACCGACCCAAAGACGGGTGCCCCCGAACAGGAAGAACTGCGCTACTCACTAAACGTTGTTCATTGCACGCTTTGGAATGCAGAGGGCACCAACGAAGAAACCGCGCTGATACAACCCGACCGACGAACGACACGACGGCTAATGGGTCAGCTGGTGGCTTCTCCGTCAGTTGCAAAAGACGAGCACGACGTCGAAGGGTGTTTTTTCTGCTTCCCAGATCTTTCTTGCCGCACTCATGGCAAATACCGACTCCGCTTTGTACTCATGCGCATCGATCCCATGAACCTCCATGTGGGAGGCTTCTCGCCAATACTCACAGAAGTCTTGAGCGATGTCTTTACCGTCTATACGGCCAAAGATTTCCCCGGCATGCGACCGAGCAGCGCTCTGACCAGGGCACTAAAGTTGCAAGGCTGTAACATCCAGGTCAAGAAGGGAAACGAGAAGGCGCTTGCTCGTAAGCGACTCACTGCAAGCCAAGAGCACGATAACGCAGATGAAGAGGACATGAAGAGGCGGCGCAGGGAGTAATGGCACGACGACTGCCTCTGCAGTAGTGGTTTTTGGCGCACGCATCTTTCTTTCCCGTGGTAATCAGGGATATCTGAAGCAATTTTTTTCCACAGATACTGATTCGCATATTGACGACGTCACGAACGGACTGCATTCCCTCGGGCAAACTTTGATTGTAGTTTTACGCTTCTTCCTTTTACGGCGGCGGCAGCGAGGCGGTTTGATGCGGCCTTTTGCGCAGTACAAAAGGTGTTGGCGGACTCGATTGCGGCGGCCATTTTATAATGCATTTCTGATTGTAGCGACGACCAGCACGATACCATTTCATAGCCCGTAGTTTCTCACATAATAGAAGGCGTTGAGCAACGCAGACGAAGATGGCCTGATGCAGTGCAGGTGAAGTGTGGTCGAGGTTGGCTGTGGGTGGAGGCTCAAGATTCGCGCGCCTCGAGCGACGCTAGCCTTGGGCGTTGCAGCCCCACTTGCAAAAGGGTCCATGCGCCGATTTTCTTTCAAGTTGACGCTGTGCGAAATCTCAACGCTCCTTCCTTCCCTCCCCTTCCCCACAAGCAAATAAGCCACTGAAAAAAGCAGCATCATGAAGTACGTGCTCGTGTCTGGCGGCGTCATCAGCGGCGTGGGGAAGGTAAGCTGCAGGTTGCCGCGCCTTTGATCACCACTAATGCGTAAAAACAGGGTATCATAGGTAAGCGCTTTGGAACGAGTGACACAATCTTGCCAAAGACGTGGGATTCTCAATAGCTATACACAATGCCTCTGCAGAGAGCCCCGCATCTACCAGGAGACATGGGCTGACGCACGTGTTTCAGCATCGTCGACCGGCCTTTTGCTCAAAACCATTGGTCTCAAGATAAGTACTATGGACTCTTCGCCAGCCAGCCAAACTGACTTCTCGGCACGTATCGTCGATCAAGGTCGACCCATACCTCAATGTCGATGCGGGAACCATGAACCCCAAGGAGTATGCTTCACCATAACCAGCACAGCCCCAGAAACTAAACCGCAGACAGGCATGGCGAAGTCTTCGTCCTCTCCGACGGCGGTGAAGTCGACCTCGATCTCGGCAACTACGAGCGCTACCTCAACATCACTCTGACCCGCGACAACAACATCACCACGGGCAAAATCTACCAGCACGTCATCGAGCGCGAGCGCAAGGGCGACTACCTGGGTAAAACAGTGCAGGTCGTCCCCCACATCACAGATGCGATCCAAGACTGGATCGAGAGGGTCGCTCGCATTCCGGTCGACGACTCGGGCGAGGAGCCTGACGTCTGTATAATTGAGTTGGGTGGTACTGTGGGCGATATCGAGAGCATGCCGTTTGTCGAGGCTATGAGCCAGCTGAGGAGGCGTGCGGGCAAGAACAACTTTATGCAGATTCATGTCTCGTACGTGCCCGTCATTCACGGAGAGCAGAAGACAAAGCCCACGCAACAGGCCATCAAGGCGGTACGGAGCAACGGTCTGATTCCGGATTTGGTATGTTTTGGAGGAGCCACTGCTGGGAATCTGTACCTGACAAGCCCAGATTGCCTGCCGTTGCGAACGCGAACTAGAGGCCTCAGCCGTGGAAAAGATTGCCCACTTCTGCCAAGTCGAAAACGAGCAGGTCCTCGTTGTCAGGGACATGCCATCGATTTACCAAGTCCCCATGCTTCTTGAGCAGCAAAGACTAATCCCCATGCTTCGCCAGTTCCTTGCCCTTGAACAGGCCAACATATCTCCTCAGATGTTGCAAAAAGGCAACCACACCTGGTCGCAATGGCAGTCGCTTACCGGTACCGACACGCGCTTCTATGACCCCGTGACGATTGCCCTCGTTGGCAAGTATGTCGAACTCCAAGACTCGTATCTTTCCGTGATTAAAGCTTTGGAGCACTCGACGATGCGATGCAGGAAGAAGCTAGACATTCGCTGGGTTGACTCGGATCATCTGGAGGCAAAGTGCCAGCAGACGGACCCAGCAAAATTCCACAACGCTTGGCACGAGGTTGTCAAGGCTTCGGGTATCCTTGTTCCTGGAGGCTTTGGTCAGCGTGCTACCGAAGGCATGATTGCCGCAGCCACGTGGGCGCGTGAGAACAAGAAGCCGTACTTGGGTGTTTGCCTTGGTATGCAGATTGCCGTCATTGAGTATGCCCGCAATGTCTGTGGCATCAAGGACGCTACTTCAGAGGAGTTTCATGGAGAGGCTCAGAACAAGCTCATCATGTTTATGCCAGAGGTTGACAAGACCACCATGGGCGCATCTATGCGTCTGGGTCTCCGTCCAACACTGTTCCAGCCTGGCAGCGAGTGGTCGCGTCTGCGCGCTCTTTACGCCGGCAAAGGCGAAATTCTCGAGCGTCACCGCCACCGCTACGAAGTCAATCCCGACTATATTGAGACTCTCGAAAAGGGCGGCTTGAGCTTCGTCGGCAAGGACGAAGCTGGCGTCCGTATGGAGGTTGTGGAGATCAAAGACCACCCCTGGTTTGTCGGTGTCCAATTCCACCCAGAGTACCTTTCTCGCGTTTTGGATCCAAGCAGGCCATACCTGGGCTTTATTGCGGCTAGCGCAGGCATGCTGGACGAGATTACACGCGCCTACCAGAACGGCCCAAATGACGGGCTTGGAGCGGATGTAATTGCAAATGGCGTGAATGGGCTGAAGGTGAATAGCGCGTAGATGTAAGTTTTTTTTTTTTTTTTTTTTTTTTTGAATGGGATGATGAATGAAGAGGTTGTATTATTGGAAACAGCAAACAACGAACAGACAAACAAACAGACGATAGCGTGAACAGCTGTCAGCGCAGGTGGGATTGGCACGCCTACTTCCCCTGTTACGACGAGCCAAGGATGGAGTCGAGGCGTTTTTCTTTTTCTTTTTTTTTTTTTGAGAAATTTGGTTTTACACGATTGGAGTTGGAAGACGATTGATATTTCATGGGCCTTTGACCTGAAGGTGACATGGGACTGGACTACTCGATAGACAGATGCAAGAATCGGGAATGAATGGAAACAAGGAATCAAGAAGATGGGGCGAGTCTTTATTCTACATGTAAGTGTTTTGTGTTTTGACAATTTTCTCTCTCTTATCTTTTCTTCTTCTTCTTCTTCTTCTATATGCGTATGTGTGTATGTGTGTATGTGCGTATGAATTAGTTAGTCCAAGTCCAAAGTCTAATACAGAACGTGTAAACTCTCCTTGGTCTTTAAGTCTGTAAATAAACTTCAAGAGAGACAGAGACAGAGAGAGAGAGAGAGAGAGACAGTGCAGCAATATACGAGCGAGACGAATCAATTCACTCATCATTATCATTGATTGGATGACGGACACGATGATTAATGACTTAGTGGTATTCTTACATATACACGCACAGTAGCAATCTATCTATCCGCATATTAATCATATGCCTTCATCTCTCCACATTTCCATTTGATTTGATTTCTCCAATCTTTGCAAAACAGTGCCGTGACAAAAACTAAGTGACATAATCATGATGGATATTGAAAAAAACGCGAGTATTGGAATCATAACTAGTCATGCGTGTCCCAACTCCCTCACCGCTTCCGACTCATCCAAAACTTCAAAAACTCAACTTTATCCTTGACGCCCAGCCCCACTCTCTTGACTCTGCCCAAGCGCGCCAAATCCTCGGCTACACGCTCGAGTGTTTTTTGCTCGCCCTCGCTGAGTGCTACATGCTCGTCGCCACTGTCCACATCGACATTCATGCCGTTGCTGCCAAATCCGTCTTTGAAATCTGCCTGCTCGAATATGTTGGTGTCGTAGCCGGTGCTCTTTGCGCCGTTGGATGAGGCATCTGCGCGAGCGGGGGCATTCTGATTGGAGTTGTTGTATACGCGCGAGGCGATGCGGACACGCATTTGGTGCGAGGGTTTGCTGAGCAGGCGCCAGAACCAAGAGAGGTAGCCACCGGGGACGGGCGTTGTTACATCCTGGGGTGTGTATCTGAGATTGACGGGGTAGATTTTTGTCTCGCCGTTTGCGCTAAGTAGACTGGGACATAGTGGGAGTATGCCTCTTCCGTTTGTGGTTGTTGTTTCTGGGAAGACACAGATGATTCTGGTCGGGTTCTCCTTGGTGAGTTGTTGGAGGGTTACGAGTTTCGAGGGATCGTTGGGGATCAGAGAGGGCGGAGAAAAGGCAAGTAAGATGGCGCCCAAAAGCGTGATACGTTCGACTTTTCGGTGGTTCGGGTAGGAGCGCGTGAATATTGGCTGGAAGATGCCTGCAAGGTAGAGCGGATCGAGCGGCGAGGTAAAGGACGAAGCGATGATGGTGCCGGGTTTGGGTAAGTTGTTTTTGGCAGAATGCAATTGCCTGTCATGCGGCGGGTCAGTTGTGACTGCGTCCAGAGTTGCTTGTGCCCTCGGAGCTTAATCTTATATGTGCATGTGAACATACCCTCTCTTGACCCCGTCAACCTGCAAGTCGACCCACCACACACCCGGGATACCCAGCATCAACCATAGTACCGCATACTTGACCCTTCTACCCACGGGCAGAAATTCCAGTCCGCAAAAGTATAGCAGCGAAAAGGCAATGACAAAAGGCGTGCGGACACAGAAGAGGAAGATGTATAGCGGCTGCCAGATGATACCAGCGGGCTGTGGTGGGACGGGGAGGAAGGGCGCAATTGCGGTACCTGTTCAACTGTAAGCGTGTGTCTCGATATGCGTCTGCAAGCCTAGTAATATGTCGCGTGCGCATGCTGGCGGAATTGCAGGTTGACGAAGTTTAATTCCATGAACCCACCTTTATCGCGAAACTGGCTGTATTTCTCCATGACGAGTGATTACCAGCAAGCGAACAACGGAAGTTTTGGAGCGACGTGTCACCGAGCCATGCACGGCCAGAATGTGTGTGTGTGTGTGGGTGTTGTTATGTTGTAGAAGAAGAAGAGGAGGAGGATGACGGAGGAAGAGAAGTCAAGGCACAAGGAAAGTTGCTGTACAAGTTTAGTCTTTAGCGACGGAGCAGCGTGGCGAGCGAGGCAGGTAGGGCAGCAGCAGCAGCAGCAGCAGCAGACAAACGAGCCTAAGCGTAGCGTTCAATCATGCACCAAACCAACAACCCCCCCAAAAAAAGTATTTGGCAAAACTCACTGGACTAGAATCTTTCAGCGTGGCGACAAAGGCCGCGGGCATCAGTCTTTGGGCTTGCTTGTGGCGCGGCGCGTGTTGCTTTTGGCGGGACCCAAGACGAGTGGCTGCGTGGGCGTGAACGGCGTGGGTGTGGGCGTCAAGTGCAAGTGCAAGTGCAAGTGCAAGTGGGCAGCATGTGAATGCCAAGCAAAGGGTTTGGCTGCGCATCCAACGTCATCACTGCATGAGCCAATCCAGCCATGCCTCATCTCACACATGGGTCCCAGTGACAATATGCATCCATGTCCTACACGTATTCTAGCCCTCGGCAGTGACATGTGGTTGTGACAACAAAAATGGGTATTGACTCTGCACACGGAGCCGTGCAAGGCCCTCGCAACGTGCCAGCTTGCACGCTCAATTTCTCCACCACCGCACACGCATGTCTGGGGCAATGCGCCTCGACCCACCCCCCCCTCTCTCTCTCTCTCTCTTTCACACACACACTCACTCACTCTCAGCCACGGACACCGGGCTGGCGCGCACCACCTCCACTTTACGCACAAAAAAACAGGAGGACTGGCGCATAACGGCGTCCCTTTTGCTCCAAGAGCACCAAAATAAGCAGTAATATTGGCACATACCCCCCCCTTTTTTCCAACTTAAGCGACGCCTGGCCTTTGAAGGCCTTGTAGTATTTACCATCAATACCATCTCCTTTGTACGTTGTGTTATTTTGTTTGGTTCTGCATTGCTGGCGGGTACAGGCATGGTCTATTCATCTCCCCACGACTGGAGCGTGCATTGGTGCCCCTTGTATCTATCTGCTTTTCGTTTCTTTTTCCTTTTTCTCTGCTTGCTCATGTTTTGTATGGCGAGGCTCACGCGCAAGGCGCCTGCGGACGCATTCAGGTGCTGGTGGGGCCGTACTTGTCAGATCCCTCGCCCACTGAGCCGCGTTTTATGCAGATTAAAAGCTGATTACAAGGTACAGACCAGAAGTAGGACTATCACATCCTACAGTTGCGCCCGAAGAAAAGTGATGTCGGCGCAATGACAGGGGTATGCGCAAAGGGTATCCTCTTTTGTCATTATCATCTCGAGCGTGCTTACAAAGCCACGTCAAGCACCAGACTGACGTCGCTGACTTGCTGGCCCGCGAGATCCTCGAGCACCGGTATCAGGTCGAGGAGTTCGTTGTCGTGTGCGTCAGAGAACCAGCTGCTGATGGGGACGGCGTGTTGCGGATGGAAGATGTACGAGGTAGGCGAGTTGTCGATGATGATGGTGTCCTTGAGGTCGCGGCCAATCTGCGAAAGGTCCTGCAGGGTGTTAGCGCGTTATATGCAAGTAGCAGTCGGCACATCTTGTCCTGACCTTTACGTAGTTGCCCTGATGGTTGTAGCAACTTTCGCGGAAAAGCCGGTGGTGAACAACGCCGTGGATGTCGAGCTGGTCGAGGAGAGGGTCACCGTACTGCAGCTGTTAGCTAGATATTTGCAACAATAGGCATGTAACGTACTTTGGAAACGGATGCCGTGAAGACGACAACCTCGTACAGCTCGCCCACTCGCTTCATGAACTGGTCCACGCCCGGTCGCTTGATGACATAGACGTTGTGGTACTGGCCTTCAATCTCCACAGGGATAGTGAAGTCTGCTTGGTGCAGAATCTGACGAGGTTAGCAAATAGAAACATGGGTCCTGGTCGTGTGGACATACCTTGAAGCTGCTATGGACCAGGGTCTCGTCGAGGTCGAGAACCAGACACTTTTTCCCTTGGAACCTGGGTGCAATGGGCCCCAGGAGGAACTTTTGCTCTTCGGGGGCTTCGCCAACGTCGGCGCTCTGGTCCTGCACAGCAACCTGTCGCTCGGCGAGCGGTGGCGGAGGAGGCAAATCGACCTTTGCCTGCTCAGCGTCGGCTCCGGCGGCCGTCTCGCCCTCGTGAGGGACGTCGTTGGACGAAAGGGGGACATCCTTCATCTCAATGTCGTTGTCAATCTGCTTCTGCTCCTCCGTCTGGTCCTCTATTATGCGCTGCTGCTCGGCCGAGGGGCGGGGCAGGACTGGGGTAGCGACAGGCGTCGGGTTCGTCACGTTGATCTGAGGGTGGCCCGTCTGCAGTGTGGCGGGCTGAGGCGGAGAAGGAGCTTCTGCTTGCTGTTGTCTCTGCGACGGACTCCTTGTCACCACCTGGGGACCATTTTCAGCAGCGGGTTGCTCGGCTGTGCCATCGCCGTTGTTGGGCTTGTCGGCAGACGTGGGCGCCAATGCGTCGGCGCCCGTCTTCTCGTCGAGCGGCTCCTTGGAGTCAATTTTACTGGACTCGGCGACGACTGGCTCCTGCTTCTTGACGGGCGTCGACTGCGAGGTGCGTCCAGCGGGCACCTTTTGGGCCTGCTTGACATTCTCGGGAGGCGTCGAGTCGCCCGTCAAGCGAGACTCCTTGGGGGCAAAGCAGGGCAGGCAAGACAGCAGACCGCCCTTGCGTGTCTTGCTCCGCGTCGACGCTGGGCGGTTCGGGGCGGCGGGGACCGGGGGCGGCTGCTCCGTCTTCTCGGAGGCGGCAGCACGTGGCTGAGAGCGTTTGCTGCTCGCCGTGCTGGCAGCCCGTCGTTTGCCCATGAGGCTGCGCTTGGAGCCTCGTCCTACGCTCTCGGCGTCGGCGGCCGTGGTTGCGCCACTGAGACCCGTGGTGGGCGTGTGGGAGTCGGTCGACTGCTGGGGGCCAGACTGGGGGACGCCGAGGAGGGAATGCTTCTGCTTGGAGTCACTGGCGTCGGTCGAGGGGCCTTGGGACGATGAGTTAGCGGGGGGAGGAGGACACAGGAGGGCGAGGGCAGGTCGGGGAGGGATTGTTGGGCGTCGCGTCCGGGAGGTCTTGGCTGGCGCGAGACGCAAGCAAATTTACATGACATACCGTTGGCGCTGGCGTGGTCGGCGGGACCTCGAGCCTTGTCGGTGGTGGACGGGGCGGATGCGTCAGCAGGTGGCTGCGTCGGATCGGAACTCATTCTTTTTTTTCTGTGCTCGGATGGCGTCTGGAGAGCGGGCGCGCGAGAGGCGACGGGGGAAGAGTGGCGATGGGGCAGGCAGCGAGGGAGGGCGGGAGCTCCGGGGGGGTTGTCGCGTGGAGGAGCGGCCTCGTGCGTGGCTCGCAGCGGGCAAGGCGAGGCGAGGCGAGGGCGGGCGAGTGAGCGAGTGAGCGAGTGAGCGAGCGGTTGCTGTGTGTGTGGGCAGGACAGGACAGGGCAGAGCAGGGCAGGGCAGGGCAGGACAAAGGACGGGATGGGTCAGCGGTCGCGGCTTCTTCTTCTTCTTCTTCTTCTTCTTCTTCTTCTTCTTCTTCTGCTTCTTCTGCTTCTTCTGCTTCTTCTGCTTCTGCTGGTTCGTCTTCTTCCTCGTCGTCGTCGTCGTCGTCTTCTTTCTCTTCCTCTTCTGGCACAATGGGGAGGGGGGCCCGGTCGCGGCTGCTCGATCAAGGCGCGAGATGGAAGGCGCGGTCGCGAGGTCGCGCAGCTTGAGAGGGGGAAGTCGCTATCGTCGAGGGCGCTCGAGGAGGGAAAGGGCAGCTGGGGAGGGGAGGGGGGGAAGGAGCTTGGATCCACTGGTGCTTGCTTGCTTGGGGGTGAGGCTGGTTCGCTAAGACGGGCGGAAATGAGACGCCGTCTTTCACCGTCATCAGCGCCAATGCTCCACAGGCTACGACGTCGACGAAGCACCAATTCAGCGGCACCGACGCCTCCCACAGACCTGTCGCCGCGCCTGGACAAGGGATGCGGCTCTAGTGCGCTGCGTCCCTGGCCACGCTCACGGCCGCTGCTGCTGCTGCTGCTGTTGCTGTTGCTGTGTCGCGCGGGCGCTCTTTGCTTTTGCTGCCTGGGCGTGGGTGAAGAAGGGCCACCACCACGGGCGCGCGCGACAGGGGCCATCTCTTTATGGGGGGGGGGTGCGAGGCGCCAACACCAGGACCATTAGCACTAAGACTCGTCGAGACGGGCGCGAGGCATCTCTCGTCCAAGTGCATCTCTCGTCCAAGTGCATCCAAGTGCATCCAAGTGCCCCCAATCAGATGCCCCACGCTCGCATTATTGGGCATAGCGCTCGGGGGGGAAAGGAAATGAGGAGCCAAGGCCCTGTCTGCCCTGCCATGCCCTACCGGTAGTGAGGTGCCCATGAACAAGATGCCTGGCGTGTGGCAGCCATGGCCAGATTAGCCAGATGAGTGGCAGCCAACCGCGCCGCCGCCGCCGTCTGGTCGCTCGACTCGCTCGACTCGCTGGCCAGGCCCGGACATGCTTTGCGCCCTGGCATATATATATATGTGTGTGTATATATATACTCGTGCCAGTGCCCTCATCTAAGCACACACTAGCTATACACACAACATCGACTGCAGGCCGCGCGACCGTTCGTGCGGCCGCCAGCGTGAGCCAAGGCGGTCGCTTGCTCGCTCGCAGTCGCTCGCAGTCGACTCAGGCCTAGCCGCCATGGCACGGGCTCCCCTCGCTTGGCTGCCCAATCACAGGCCCCCTTGTGCCGCCACAGAGTGGCTCGCTCCATATTGCCCACCGCACTGGCACTCTTCCTCCACCTCCTCCACCTCCTCCTCCTCATCCTCCTCATCCTCCTCATCCTCCTCATCCTCCTCATCCTCCTCATCCTCCACCACCCTTTTTCGCCCCAGCACCGGCACGCCCCATTCCCAACCCACCAGCCACCCTCAACACTCGCTCTCACTCTCACCCGCTCACCTGCTCATTCGCTCACCCCTTCACTCGCTCACTCACCCCCCCCCCACGTCCCAGCAAGCAATGCGCACCACACCCTCAAGAACCCCCGTCCCCTCCCCTCCACTCCCCTCCCCTCGCTGCTGTCACATGTCAAAAGCACGTCGCGTTCCACTGTGGCAAGGGCGGTGCAAGAGCGGCCCGTCGCACGTCGAGGTCATCCCGCGCCGATCTTGCAACTTTATGCTGCCCCATCCATGTCCACATCGTCACAAGGCCAACGTCTTCTCGCAGTGCCCAGTGGCACCCCAACCCCGACAATGCACACCACACACACACACATCGGATTATGAAGCCATGACTAACGCACCAGAGCTTGGCGCGAACCAGTCTTTTCAACCATGCCGACTAGCGGGCGGTCTGCTTAAATACACTTGTGTACCATCTGACCTCAAGCCTTGGGGTAGCGGCTCGAGCTAACCTCGTCCACGCCCACTTGAGCACTCTTCACCTCGTAGTCTTTGGACGATTTGGAAGTATGCTCCTCGCCCTCCGCGATGCGGCTCGGAGCACGCATGGGGATTCCGCCTTGCCGGCACAGCTCCTCTTCCGACTCGGTCGCCGTGATGCCTTGCTCCAACTGCGTAATGCTCCCACGTCTGCCCTTCTTGCCATTCATTGCCCGGTAGGGCCCGTCTCCTGACCCAAAGGTCCTCATGCGGTTGAACGATGAGCCCTTGGACCCTTTCTGACCTGAGTACCCTTCGGCACGCCCGGAACCGGTTGGGTTCTTGCCCGTGATGCGAACCCATAGCGACTTGAGACTGGGCAAGTTGACGGAAATAATGGCAAACTGGATTTCGAGCGCGGCAACAATGACCATCTTTCCAAGCACCCACGACGAATCTTTTGATGTACCCAGTTCCAACAGAGGCGAAAGCCGGCAGCAAGCAATGATGACAGAACTGCTGCCAAATGCAACCAGGCTAATGACCGTCGCCTTGTGCCGAAACGACATTTGCAGGCTCCACAGAGTGGAAACGGGAATCAAGAGGATGAAAATGTCTTCGAAGATGTTCTGTGTTGGTGTTAGTCTGCAGTCTACATGACAAGACGGAAGCTTTACCAGGATGGACGGCACGAGGAGAACAGCCATGGTGGGAATGCATTTGGCGCCTGGAATCGAGCCTGGCTTGAGGATGGCCTCGAATGGAACGCACTGGAAGCATGCCAAGAAGCTGGTTGTGCATGTCAGCCTCGAAGCCTGGTCCAAGGCAATGCAATACAATACGTACACGTTGATGATGAGGATAGCCGTGTTGAACCCGCCCGCAATGTGGATGGCCATGCGGAACCCGCGCTTGGGAGAGAGGCGCATGTAAAAGAGAAGAAAGGCCGATTTGATGACCCAGTGAACACAGTAATAGACGATTTCTTCAATAAACAGCCACTGTGCCCCTTTTCAGCATGACGCACAGCGAATCTGGCTTGTGTTAGCATACCTTTGTGATTTCCAGCTTCTGGGTAATGGTCAGGGTGTCTATGTGACTGCATGACTGGTGAGCACGAGTCCAACGAGCAGCCAACCAACAGGGGCTAACCGTACAGTCCACAACCCCAGTACAGAAACATGTGCAGCACGACTTGCTGGCCAATGCTAAATATCTTTTGCCCTCGTCGTTAGTCATGCATGGTGCTGTGGTGCAGTGAGTAGGCATGCATACAAGAATCAAGAAGGCAAAATTATCGTCCCACCCCCACAGGTGCAGGATATAGCGGCGGCAGTAGAAGCGAAGGAAAATGGACAGAGTACCAAAGAAAAAAGAAACATAGGCAAAGGCGTAGGCCAGTGGCTGGAGATTGGTGAGTCCCATGGTCGGAATGGCCTGCGGAATAATCGACCAGAGGACGGCGACTTCTTAAAAACCGCAACACAGGGCCACTCCAACAAGCCCAACGACGATCAGTGTGCCAATGTGGACGTGTTGGGCCGGATGACAGTTTCGAAACCTTGTCTGTTTTCCCCATGGCCACGGGCTCGCAGCATGGGGGGTTGGTGCTGTAGCATTAGTACTGTCCATCCGAGATGCACAAACAAGGCAAAGACGAGCAAGATAACAGACAAAAGCGCCGAGGACGGCCTTGTGCAGTCGTCTACAAAGACATGCGGCCATTGGCTCGAGCCGTGGGAAAGTCGCCATTACCCGGCCCTGGGCATTAATGCACCGCCAAAGTCATGGCCGTTGGACTACTGCACGTACGTCATGCCCGGCATCGGCTGCACGTACTTGTACTGCTCGGTGCTTTTTTGTATGCGGCATAGTTTGCTGGCAGGCCTTTGGTGTTGGCTACATGTTGGAGTTTTGGATGCGAGTGCGCCACAGAGCAAGATCGGCAGAAGTTTATATTTATATATACATATACGCGTCAAATGCGTCTGTGTCTGTCTCTCTGCATGTACAGATACAGTTCCGTGCCGCCAACGGTAAGTCCAGAGTCGACAACATGTACGTAGAGCGGCTTCTTTGGGACCACACGGAAACGTCGTCCCCATCCACACAAGTGCCTGCCTTGGTTGCGGCGCTGCGGCTAGGATGGAGGCTGAGAGTAACCAGGACGTTGAAACAAGTGCGGGAGGCAGCGATTCAGCATGCCTGGAACGAGGCTAGCGAGGGGCGTGCCATCGGCCCCGCCTCGCTGCTGAGACAACGTCGTCGTCCCTTTTGCTGCCTCAGCTCGCCTATCACTCCCTTTCCATGCATCCGGCCCACGCCGCGAGAGCCCGCACTCGGATGCCGAGTAGTCGGCCACGGCTTGGATGCACCCGCTGCACCTGAGAATACGACGTCTCTTGCAGCAACCTCGCTGGCCCCACTCCCCGGACCCCTCGTCCCGCCACTCGGCATATCTACCGCCGCCAGGGGACGTGTATTAGTGGTTTTTTTTTCTTTACATACATACATACATACTACTTACATACATACGCGCGAGCTAACACTCTGCCGGAATGCCAATGCGTCCACTGCAGCAATGCCAATATCGGGACGCGTATGTACGTACATGTACACGAACAAACGGCTGCGGGGACAGTGGTCCGCCATAGCACAACGACCGGGGGCGTCCTTACAACGACTGCGAGGCGAGGCCACGCGACATGGCTGCACCCAGCACCGCTTCTGTTGAGACGACCGCAACGAGTGCCGAGGGGAGAACAGTCCGTCCAACGGCCGTATTCCGACAGCTCGACCTGAAAAGCAAAAGCCTCGTTATTTCCAGCCGACGCCGCGGCACAGGTGTCAGACACGCGCTATGTCTGCAACCATATCACACACACACACACACGCACACACACAAGCGTCCAGGGCACTCCTGACCCCGCAGGCCAGGGAATCCGCATGCGTAGTGCCATGCTGGCCACATGGTCTATAATGTGCCAGCTCCGCTCCTGGAAGAGACGCAGTCTCACTCCATTGACCGCATCAGCCTTGCTTGGCTCCTCAACACCCACCTCCCCACCCCCCTTGTTTTTCTTAACCACTTGATACACGTTTCTCGTAACCACTCCCCTGGTACGCCCCTCGCGCATACCATGGACGCTGTCCGAGATGCTGCGCACGAGGCTGCGCAACGCAGTGCGTCTCAAGGCGCTCTAGCAGCCGCCATCCTGGCCATCCTGTTCCACATAGCCATTAACCAGATCGAGTTCGAGTATGTCATGTTCCACTTCATGGCTGCCTACGTGCTCGTCTTCCTCGGCATGGCCTATGTCGTCGGCCTGGTACACGCTTTGCTTTTTGCAGCAAGCTTCAGTGTCGCGTTGCTGGCTAGCATCACCGTCTACCGCCTGCTCTTCCACCGCTGCCGCAAGTTCCCTGGGCCGCTGGCGGCAAAGGTGACCAAGTTCCATGCTGCCAGGCTCGCGGCAAAGGACGTCAAGTATTACAAGGAACTGGAGAAGATGCATGAGCAATATGGCGACTTTGTACGCACGGGTGAGTAGGACTTGTTGGGAATGTCTATACAATGGCGTGTTAACGGCAAACTGTCAAGGTCCACGCGAGATTAGCATCAGACAAAAGTCGGCAGTTCCGGTTCTATACGGCCCCAATTCAGAGTGTCTGAAGTCGACTTGGTACGGCCAGACTGGAAACGACCAGCAAAAATGCTCGATTCACATGACGCGCGACTACAATGGCCATCGTCTGCGTCGCCGGGCTTGGGACCGCGGTTTCTCCATCAAAGGTTTGCACTAATGTACCCCATCTACGAGTCTACTCTAACCTTGCACAGCACTTAGCATGTACGAGCCACGCATCAAGGCCAAGGCAGACGTGTTCAAGAACCAATTGGCTAGCAAAGGAGCAAGCTCCATGGACGCCTCTACCTGGTCAATGTTCTTCAGCTTCGATGTCATGGGCGAAGTCGGCTTCGGCAAAGACTTCAACAACCTCCAGAGTGGCGTTGAGCATGTTGCTATCAAAGGCGTCCATTCTCATATGACTATGCTGGGCATCATGAGCACGGTTCCCTGGCTACTCAACGTCCTCAGCTCCATTCCGGGCGCGGCAGCAGGCTACTCTGACTTTTTCTCGTTTTGCTCCAGCCAGATAAGGGAAAAGCACAAGGTATTTCTCCGTATTGGAGCCGAGTGAGGCGGAACTGCTGACATGCCATAGACCTGGGACAGCGAAAAGTATCCACAGGATGTCATTTCTTGGCTGTTGAAGGCGGCCAAAGAACAAGACGTTTCAGCCCCGCTGAGCGCGGCCGCTTTAGAGGATGACTCGCGAGTCATGATTATCGCTGGAAGGTAACATTTCAGACGAAGCATCCAGGTACCAGGTCTAATCCATTGCAGTGAAACAACCGCCACCACACTTGCAGGCGCTCTCTACTTCATGGCCAAGCATCCTGACAAGCAGAAGAAGCTTCAGCAACTCCTTGATGAAGCTATGCCTGGCGGATACAGCGAGTGGTCATATGAAAAAGTCAAGTCTGTTTCCTACGTCGACGACTTCATCAGTGAGACGCTGCGTCTTCGGCCGGCCTTGTTGACTGGCGGAGCGCGAGAGACTCCAGCAAAGGGTATCCAAGTCGGCGACACATATATTCCCGGCAACACCAATGTCTTTGTGCCAGTGTCACTGATCCAAAAAGACCCAAGATGGTGGCAGCAAGCGGACGAGTTCCTTCCCGAGCGTTTCGGCGAGAAGAAGGTGGAAATGGAGACGGACCAAGCGCCATATATGCCCTTTTCTCTAGGCAAGTATTTCCCATAGCAAAGTAGCAGGTACTTGTTCCTGAATCCCCTTTTACTAACATGCCAACAGGGGCATACAGCTGTCCGGGCAAGAACCTAGCGCAACTAAGCCTGCGCATCTCGCTGTCCATGGTTGCCCAGAACTTTGACGTCTCGTTGGCGCCCGGGGAAACGGGCCAGGCCTTTGAAGACGAGATCCTAGACACCTTCACGGTGACGCTTCCACCTCTGCAGCTAAGATTTACTCCACGGAACAGCGTCTGAATGCGGCAATGACAGGCGTTGGCTCCGACTAGGTACCCGCCTCGCCGTCAAAACTCAGGGGCGCGGAACCCGACGGAAGGTGAACTGGAGTCATCTAGTGTGGATTTGCCCTGGTTTAGGTACGTCTTATAGCTCCGTGGTCAGGCCGATGTCTCGACATTACCAGAGAGAGGGGCAAATAAATGCAACAAAAGAGCACTCTTGCCCCTGTCAGCTTCGGGCTGCTCTCCCGTCCTCGCGACAACCTCGGGTAAGAAGCCGTCGTTGCCGTTGTTGGCCCGCCGCCGTGGCCGTGCATTGTTGTATTGTAACAATTTTTTTTTCTCAATATTATTCTTACTCCAATTTTAAACTTTGGTCATGCGTTTGGACTCCCTGCTTTGAACCTTATGCTGCAACCTGCTACCAAGATCCAGAGTCCCAGATCGCCAAATTACCTTGTCCTGGTCTGGCCTTTACATGCTGACTGCATACGTAGTACGTACGGATATCCGACATGGCAGCCGCATCAATCCACGGGGATGCATGCACCCATGTCTCACCCATTCTCCATAATCCACCTCGATTGCCATTGTCATTGTCGTCACCAAGATCTTCTTTTTTGGGGGTGTGTGGGAGGGGTCTTTCAGGTACACAAAGTTTAATCAACCTTATCTCTGTCTGTCTCACATACACACACACTCTCTCTCTCTGTACCTTGGCTACTTGGCTAAATATATCCTGGCACTGGCATATTGTGTATGGATCTATCCATCTACTTACGAACATAACAAGCCAAAAAAATTGCCATTGGCCCCAACACCACCATTCTTTGCCATGTCCAAACCACCTCATTTTTTTTCTTGCATTACAAATTATTCTTTTCTTTCTTTCGCTCCTTGTTTCTGCCGCTGCCGCTGCCGCTGTTTCCATGTATTGTATCTATATATGTACGTACATAGGTTGACCTGCCGTGCGTGCGTACGTACGTGTATATGTCTCGCATTACGAGCGGTTCAGCTTTGGACAAAGTCTCGCGATGCTCGAGAGTAACGACGCGACATTGGCGATCGGTGGCTGAGATAAACTCTGCTCGGGTTGTGGGGGGAGGGGGGGTATTGCTGAGACACACTCGTATACACGGACACATATGTGCGGGTACGCGGGGAACTGCGCATGCGCATGCACAGGTTTCTCACTGTCCCTTACTATCTCTCTCTCTCTCTCTCTCTCTCTCTCTCTCTCTCGGTGTGTCCATGTCTTTCTCTCCCATGACTACTTACTAACAATCCCGCACGTTGCTTATTTCAGCAAGTAATCAGCAGACCAGTGCCAGGGTGGAGGAGCTGATTGCGAAACTTCGGCTACAGGCAACGGGTTTCTTTTGCCTGGGGGCCGGGGTCGAGAGAGAATAGAGTAAGAGAGCGAGGCGAAAATGGGGAGGGGGGGACATGGGGACATGGGGACGTGGGCGTTAGTTGGGCGTTGGGCCAGCCGCAAGCGTGCATCCAAGGCCGGACGGTTGGAGACGGATGCATGAGCCCGTTTTTTCTCTTCTTAACGCGTCATCTTTCTGCCCCATTTGCTGCGGGACGGTTGATGGTGAAGGAGGGGCGGGTTCCGAGGTCTAGCGACAGCCTAGCCCGTGTGCCCTTTTCGAAATGTTCCCCTCTCTTCCAATCGGGAGTTATGCGCGCGCTTGTGTGTGTATGCGCCTTGTTTGTCAAAAAACTGCCGCCGCCCATGTACTATAGTGGCTGTGAGTTATCATAATGCCATGTTCAATATGACCGGCCTCTCCACCCTCCCCCCGGCCCCCGCGAGTCCCCAATTCTCTGTTCGAATCGAAATTCAGAATCTATCTTTGGGGCGGTTTCGAAACATTGTTGTTGTTATACAGTTGTTGTCTGGGATTCTCTGCTGCTATATGTGAGATTGTACTCGACAACCGAGGAAGAAAAGAAAAGAAAAGAAAAGGGCAGTCATTTCTTTTTTTTGAGGGGTTGAGACAAGAGATTCCAAATATTATTAGCTCTCTTCTAGACACATCGGAAACACGGGGGAGTGGCTTGCTTGAGGAAAAGAAAAGAAAAACAACCTTAATACTCTTTTGCGGAGACGAACGCTTTATCACTTTGGATTCACAGACACAGATATACTTGACAGCACTGGCACCATCGTTTGGGAGGCGAGTCTTTTTTTTGTTTGCAGCCCGTGACGCGTATGGCATTTGGGACATGGCCATGAGAAAGCACACGTGCAAAAGCAACGACGCGGTTTGGAAGGAGAAAGGAGGGGGGGGGGTGTTTAAGATGGTATGAGTGCGAAGCCCGGTGGGCGGGAATTTTGTTCTCTCTCTCTTTCTCTCTTTTAAACTTTTTCCCCCTTCACTCGTTCTTGTGACTTCAATGATAGATCCAAGTCGCCTGGTACTACTGACCGTACTACCATCGACTTGGACTTTCATCGTCCCCCCCACTCTGTATGCTGCGACCACGCCATGGACCCTACGACTAATATTCAGCCGCTTGCGTATTCTGTAGCCTACATTACCTTCTTTATCGGCACCCTGTCCATCTTTCTGCGGTTTTACTGTCGTTACATTGTTCTGCGAACATGGGGGTGGGACGACTACATTGCCGTGGCTATTCTGGTGAGCTTGGGACTGCGACTCAATGTCTAATACAACGGATGAGCTGACGCGAGACTCTAGTTTTTTAGTTTTGCACAGCAAGCCGTCTTGCAGATTTTTCTATATTGGGGCTGTGGACTGTGAGACGTATGCATGCCTCGTGTCGAGATGTGGGTGCTAACGGGACAATAGCCACATGCAGGTTTTGGATTCTTTCCAACAGCTCGAGATTGTAAAGGTGAGAGACTACTGCATTGCAAGAGGAATATTACAGAGGCGTGTTGCTAATGGCAGGGCAGTGGTTGTTTGTCGAGGAGATACTATACTACACTGTTCACTGGGTAATCAAGTCTGCTTTCCTTGTCTTCTACCTCCGGCTGTCGCCTGATAGCGACACATTTCGACAGGCTGTCTATACGGGAGTGGGGTTAAACACTCTTGTGTGGATTACCAGCGTGTAAGTAAACTGGCACGTACGGTTTGAGTAGAGGCTAATTCGTAATCCAGGCTTCTCGCTTGCCTCCAGTGTATGCCTTTTGACGAGATCTTTCATCCAGGCACCCACAAGGATGCAAGCTGCATCAACAAGCTCGTCCTCCACCTGGGACCCTGTGTCCTCGTACGTATCCCGTCTACACGCTCGTCTTTCTGTCCAGCTAAACACCCTGTTGACTAACAAGACACAGAACATCATCGTAGACATATACATTCTGATTCTGCCCATTTCCACAATCTGGAACCTCAAAAATATTTGCATGCGGCGCAAAATCGCCGTCCTCTGCGTCATAGGCTTCGGGGGCATCTCCGTCATCATCGCGTGCTGCCGCATCGCGTTACTGCTGCAACTGGGCTCCTCGCCCGACATGTCGTGGGTGCTGGGCAACATGGTGATTGTGTCAGCGCTCGAGATCCAATCAGCCATTATCGCCGTCAACCTGCCCAGTCTCAAGGCGCTGTGGACAAAGTACACGGGCAGCACGGCGGGCGGGTCGAGCCGCCAGAACCTGCATCGCAAGGCGTACAGGCTGTCGACCATCAGCGGCGATGCATCGTCCAGCGCCAGCGACAGCGAACGCAGAACACGGTGGAGCAAGAGAACGTCGGCGACACGCGATTCCTACTGGGACAACGGCCTGACGAGCATCGCGTCCGAGGACGAGTCGGTGCTCGGCGACATGGCCGTCATGATGCCTATCCAGTGGGTTCGGAGAGATATCCGCGCCATCAGGGTCGGAAGAGGCTACATTGTACGCAGCATGATGAGCATGGAGAGGGTCGAGGACTGTTTCCCCGTCGGCCACTTTCTGCGCCAATACGGGCCCCGCCGCGACGCAGAGTCGGTCGTGGCATCGCTCGTTTGAGTTGCTCTTAACCTTATGACGTAATGAATATATAGTTATGTAAAGATATCTGGAAGTGGACCATTGGGGCGTGTTTGATTTCTATGCGTGAAACTCTGACCTGTGGATCAGTACTACACAGGGAGACTACTGGCGAATCCCTGCTACTTATTGTAATTTTGTTTAAATATTAATTCAGGCGAGCCGACTTCGGCTTGGGAGAGTCGGTGTGCGCAAGCTGTAACTTCACCTTCACCTTCTAGGTCGTGACTCATGAACCGTGGATCAGTAGGCAGGTAAGAGACTAACAGCGAATAACCACTGTTGTATTAGGCGGTGTGCGTAAGCCGTAATTTGACCTTCACCTTCACCTTCGTACTCGTGACTCACCGCTATGAACTATAAATGATGGCCTCCCCCCCTTCTTTGCCGTCCACCCGTCCAGCCTCCATCATCCAGCTCCACCATCCAGCTCCACCATCTAACCGCAACTCTGGTCTATTGCATTCCAGGTAAGTGAAGTCAATACTCATCTTTACCTCACTAACCTTGAATCACAGTACTCAACTTCAACCCACAAGATGTCTGGTAAGCTCAACGACCAGGAATGTGCAGCGCTTCAAGAGTACGGGCTCTTGCAGCTAGTAGAGAACCCCAACAAGCGTAAGATCAGTTCCAGTTACCTCTCACCGCCTACCTCGTCGTCAGGCAGCACTGTCAGTTCCTCCACTTCTTCGGTTGGCCGCGTCGTCTCCGCCAGCTGGGCATCTCCGCCAGCTCACTCGACTCATCTGGTATACCCTGCTTCCCCAGTCAGCGTCGACGCCCTCGAGTTTATCGGCTTGAACAAAGATGCAGCAGAGCGTGTCTTCGCCAGTTTCCAGTCAATGCAAATCGACAAAGACGAGGAAGAAGCTGCTTTTCCAACGTTCATCGAGGGACATCTCAGGCAGCTGTATACCAACGCTCTTGAGGACTTGTCAACTGTCGATGCGTTCACGAGAGTCGGACTCACAGCAGACACTATCGCCGCCATTCTCGACCCGAAATTTCAAGAAGTGTTTGAGACGCGTTCACCATTTTATTGGGCCTGGGATACGCTGCGAATGAGGTACAACCATGTTCTGCTTGTCGAGGAGCGCGTCCAAAAATCTGCGGCAAAGGCAGTCTTGGCAAAGAAAGGGAAGAAGCGAGCGAAGGTGGAAGATTTGTTCGGCGGCGAGAAGGCTCAGGCTTCCCAATCTTCCGGCTCTCAAACCCATGCAACAACCGGCACGACCCGCAGTGGCGTAAATAGCAGCAGTCCCCATCTGCCAACGACTTGCGCCTACGTCGAATCAGCCCCAACGCCACCTGAGAATCATCTTGTCCTCTACACAGGCAAATGTCCCGCCGAGTTCGGATTGGCAGAATACGAGCATTTTGTAGCGGAAGATGGCAGCATCAACATGGACGCCATTGCGTCTCGCCCTGGCGGGGATTTCAACGGTAAATCCTTCGCCTGGTACTTTACGACGGAATACGAAACGGCAGACATTTATCGTGGGTACGCGGCACTACGATGCCCAAACGAGGAGACATGGATCATTCGCATCATGATCCCGATGCAATCGGCCGCCACGCTGCGCACTAAAGAGCTATGGTGGTCATACGATTTCCGCGAATTCGTATGGCACTGCCGGAAGGTCAAAGATATTCCCGACAGGCTCCAGCAGTACGATTCCGTCGATGTGCTCAAGGGCCATATGTTGAAGTACCCAACGTTGAAGAGGGTTGCGCAAAACGACATCCACAACAAAATCGTTGAAGATAAGTTGTGCAAATTGAGCTCCGGTCGAAAGGCGACCCAGTGGGTTGCCAAGAACACAGATACCGCAAACAAGCTTCGGCTGTGGGGTCACGGCAATCTACACATTGAGGTTTTTGCAGCTGATATTCAGCAGTGAGATGCAACATATGGCACTGATTGAGCCGTATATGGGGTTGTGCTCAGTGGGACTGGTATGGTTTACTAAGGAAGGAACAAGAGAAAGCGGGTTTTTCACAGGGGATAATGGATTTGCTTGAAGTGGCCCTTCACAGGAACAACGGATTGGAATTAGGTGATTCAAACATGGTAATAGATGGTGCTTCAGTAGTTATTCAAACAGGACAATAGATTGGCTTAGGAGGCCATTTGCACGGATACTGGATTGGCGTTCAAAGGCCGTGCTTTCCCAAGGCAAAATTCAAATCGACAGTGATTAAAGTTTCGATATTGATATTTATTTTGCAGGGTAGCAAGATGAGGGTCCAGGGGTTGCGACACTATGACATAATATAGAAGGTTGGTGTTGCAGTGGGTCACCGGTATTCGTCATCGCGTTGGAAGACGCTTGCTTGGCCGGAGGTTAGCTAGCCAACACCAACCCACTCACTTCACACTAAGACCACCGCTGCCCGAAGCAGAATACTGTCGCCCCAAGACTCAATCTTCCTTGCCGATCTTCTGCCCCTACCAGACAACCATTGTCGCCTCCTCTTGTAGTCCTTCCCAGCGCATGATGACTGAGCCAAATTCTGCCCCGCACCCCGAAAGCGACCCCGCGGTCACGACAGACGCGAATGGAACGCGTGACCAGGATACGGACGATCACAAGCCACGAGACATCAACGGCTGGGACGGGAAGCTTCGAGTAGATAGAATGACTCTGAGCGACGAGCCAAGAGATCCACATGCGCAGGTGTTGAGTGATCCAGAAGTATCAGACGACGATGGGCCGCCTCCAGAACAGTTGGCTGCAGACGAGGACCTGCTCGACGATGTGCCAGACGACGAAGAGGATATTGAGCTGGTGCACTGCAAGATCTCAGACATGTCGTCGTTGCGGCTGGAAAGGTTCAAGCAGATGAAGGTATGTCATTGTCGCCTAGGTCCTGCATAGAAAGGTTGCCTAATGTGGCAGCGTCTTTGCCTCCGCCAAAATCGCATAGAAAGTATCGCGATACCCGATGAACTTGCGGCCACTCTCACAGAAGTCGATCTCTACGACAACCTTATCGCACACATCAAGGGCCTCGATGCCTTTACCGAACTCACCTCGCTCGACCTGTCCTTCAACAAGATCAAGCATATTAAGCGGCTAAACCACATGACGAAGCTCAAGGACCTGTATTTTGTGCAGAACAAAATCAGCACAATAGAGAATCTAGAAGGCCTCTCGAACCTGCGGCAGGTAGAGCTGGGCGCAAACAGGGTGCGGGAGATTCAGGGCTTGGAGACGTTGACGGGGCTGGAAGAGCTGTGGCTGGGCAAGAACAAGATTACGGAGATCAAGGGGTTGGATACGCTTGCAAACTTGAAGATTCTCAGCATACAGTCGAATCGGCTGCGGTCCATTGCGGGGTTGGATAAGTTGGTCAATCTGGAGGAGCTGCACATCTCGCACAATCTCCTTACCGACCTGTCAGGCCTAGAGAACAACGTCAATCTGAACGTCATTGACATTAGCGCCAACCCCATTGAGCACCTGACCGGGCTCAAGGGCCTCAAGAACCTGACAGAGTTTTGGGCGAGCAACTGCAAGCTCAGCGACTTTGGCGAGATTGAGCGAGAACTCCGAGACAAGGAAGGCCTGGAAACAGTGTACTTTGAGGGCAATCCGTTGCAAAGGTCACAGCCGGCCTTGTACAGAAACAAGGTCCGGTTAGCACTGCCGCAGGTTGTACAGATTGATGCTAGTAAGTCTTCCTTGGACCTGTATCGGAAAGTTCCCGACTAACACTAGAGCAGCCTTTGTGAAGCAGGTATAGCACATTCGCAGCATCTCGACTTGCTGTGCTCAGTGCTTGGGTTTATCTATTGTAGCAAGGATGGCTGGGGCGGGCGGCAAAATTCTGGACTGGCATTTGCATGGCGCGCTGGCGTTGATATAGGACATAGTATTGGCGGGTGATACCCAATAAATGCATGGAATTGTTGGCGCTGCATGGCTTCCAGACTGTTGCGACTACCAAACGTCGCCTAAAAGGTTCATGTACATGTGTAAGCCGCCTAGCCGAGTCTAGCGTGGTGACGGCGAGTGGGTCGCGCCTTCTGTTGTGTTTACGTCCGAGCGCAGACCCAAACAATCGATATCCAACACATAGACACAACACGGCCAGCAACGACTTTGTGGACACGCTTGTGCTTTTGGCTGCGACGGCACATGCTTTTTTTTGATTTGATATCGTTCCCTCGTTCAATACGCAGCGACTCTTCCCACAATGGATGCGGCAAATGAGAAGGTGGTACGTACATCGCTCGAGCCCTCCCCTGGGCCCACATCTAATGGCACGTCCTTCTTAGGCTATCACGAAACGCTCAGGAATCAAGCCGCCTTCCACCTTCTCCCACATCACATCGTCGCCGCCGCGCGCCCTGAGCGAACTGCAAGAATCCGCCACCAACGCCCGCAGCGCAATGCCCATTCCTACGGCCAAACACAAGCCCTCCGGCTGTACTTTGCCCCCCGCCGCACCCGCAATGTTGCATTGTTCGCTGACCACCGCAGTGCCCGAGCCGGCCTTCAAGCAGCGGAGGACGTTGCCTGAGCCAGCCCCCGAGCCGACCAAGAGGCTTACAGCCCCGTCCAAGATTGCCAATGGCACAAAGACCACCACCGCCCGCGGCCTCGCAGCCTCCACATCGCGCACACTTTCCCGAACGACAGCCAAACCATCCGTGTCATCATACGGAAGCAGCCTTGGCGCTGCTCCTCGACCCGCCGCAAACGCAAGGCCAAAGTCGGCCTATGGGCAGAGCAGCCATGTTAGGAGCAAGTCGTACAACCAGGGATCGCGCCCTGCGACATCGATGATGAACCGCGGCGACGATGACGACAGTGAGCTAGCAGAGCGCAAAGGTGTGCAACCATTTCTTATCTCTACCAACCCCTCCGCCAGTGTCATAGCATCAGAAAGGGGTTCTTTAATCCCAAAGCAGCGCCCACCTACCCAGAACACCTCCCGAGTACGGACTGCTCGTGTGCTACAGCCTCGGCCAGTCTCCTCCCCTTGCACCTTTCGCTGCGTCAGTCCGGTCATTGAAGAGCCCGAAGATGCGGACTGCGACGCCATCTGCACCGCGGTTGGGGCGCTCACACTGGGCGCATCCAAGGCAGACAAGCGCGACAGCCTGATCGGACGTGGAATAACTTCTGACAACGGGACAAACGCCTTTTCCAGACCGAAGCTGCCTTTGTCACAACTCCCCCAGCCGACCCCGACACCTGTGCGACAGAGACAGATAGACCTATCTCCATTTCGACCTGTGTCGATTACGCCAAAGAGAATAGCACCAGCGCCATTTTTGAATCGCTTCACTAACGATCGTTGCCCAGATTTTTACAATGAGCGAATGGAGGCTATGGAACGCGACTTCCGCTCCTTCAAGGAGAAGATGGAGACGGATGTGCGCCAGGCCACTGACTACAAGGAGACGATCCAGCAGCTCCAAAGCCGCGTCACCGAACTCGAGACTATCCGCGCGAGACTAGAGATTGTCAACAAGGGCCTAGAGTCGGAACTCGACGACACCCGGAGCAGTCTCAAGTCGGTCAAGATGGAACTGGAAATGGCCCAGCAGAAGCACACGTTCGAGGTTGACGACGTACGGCGGAGGCTGCGCAACGAAGTCGAAGACTTGGAATCACGGCATCGAAAAGACACAGACCGGTTAGAGAGAGAACGAGACGAGGTAGAGAGGAAGACACGCAGCGAGTTCGAGGCACGAATCGACAAGTTGCTAAGGGAGCACGAAGAGGAGATTGCAGTATTGCGAAGGAAGCTCGACTCCGACTCCGAGGCTGAGCGCGCCAGGCGCGCACAAGAGGCCCAAAGGATTGAGGAGGAGTACGCTTCCAAGCTCAGGGCTGCTGCTCTGGATGCCGACGCCAGGCAACGTGAGGCACAGCTCGTGCAGGGCGAGCTCACCAACGTCAAGTCCGAACTCGACCGAGAGAGAATACTTAAGAATGGCCTCCACAACCAACTCACAGAGGCGACAACACACAACCTCACCCTGGAGGCAGCCAACAAGGCCATGAAGGAGAAGATTGACTTTCTCGAGTCCGACAGTCAGGCGCAGTCGCAAGCCTTCAACGACCTTCACAAGCGAATGCAGGATGCTATTGAAGCTGCAGAACAAGCACACGGAAAGCTGCGTCAAGAAGAGACCCTGCGCCGCAAACTGTTCAACCAGGTCCAGGAGCTCAAAGGCAACATTCGTGTCATGTGTCGTGTACGGCCAGCACATGCCACCGAGAAGGACCCAGCGCAAATCTCATTTCCCGACAGGGACACCGACAGCAAGGAGGTATCTATTCTTGGACCAAGCAAGCAAAGCGCAACTGGCAAGGATATCACTGCCGCATATTCGTACTCGTTTGACCGTGTGTTTGGTCCGTCTTCTCAGAACGGAGAAGTTTTTGAAGAGATTAGCCAGCTTGTGCAGAGCGCCCTGGATGGATACAATGTGTGCATCTTCTGCTACGGTCAGACGGGAGCCGGAAAGACGCATACCATGTCCTCGGCCGACGGTATGATTCCGCGTGCCACCGCCCAGATTTGGGACGAAGCGCAGCGGCTGCAAGAAAAGGGCTGGCGGTATACCATGGAGGGCTCGTTTATTGAAGTCTACAACGAGACGTACAATGATTTGCTCGGTCGGTCAGAAGACCTTGATAAGAAGAAGGTCGAAGTGCGACACGACCCAGCCAAGAAGCAAACTAACTTGGACAATGCCGTTAGTGTTATGCTGGATGGTCCTGGCCGGGTTGAGGAGATACTTGAAACTGCAAGCAAGAACAGAACCGTGGCCGCTACAAAGGCCAACATGCGATCCAGTCGAAGTCACTCTGTCTTCATTCTGAAGCTCGTTGGCACCAACGACATTACGGGTGAGAGGAGTGAGGGAACGCTCAACCTAGTCGATCTTGCGGGATCTGAGAGGTTGGAGCATTCTAAGGCCGAGGGTGCGCGCTTGAAGGAGACGCAAAACATTAACAAGAGTCTGAGCTGTCTGGGAGATGTCATCAATGCTCTTGGATCGGCCAAGGAGGGCGGCCACATTCCGTACAGAAACTCCAAGGTATGTTGAGGAAAGTCGAGGTCACAATGGCTTGCTAACATGTTGCAGCTTACCTATCTGCTCCAATACTCGCTGGGCGGAAACTCGAAGACACTCATGTTTGTCATGGTCAGCCCACTGCAAGCCCATTTGCAAGAGACTATTACCAGTCTCAAGTTTGCAACAAAGGTGCACAACACACATATTGGTACTGCCAAGAAGCAGACCAAGACTGCGTGAGCTATATTGTCGCATTTCGAATGTCTGTTTAGGCGTCAGGGTTTGGCAGGGCATGTAGTGGGTTATCTGGGCAGGGTATGAGGCAGTTTGGGTTGGGTTTTCATTTCTTCTTTGGGTACTTATTAGCTCGACAAGTAACGAGCGGCCTTTGAAGTGTTCGGGGTCGTGTTTTCGGCTTTGCCGCTTGGAGTATATAGGCGTTGGCATGGGCAGTCCGCCAGCCAGGTACATATTGAGGATGACGTATTGTTTTGTTGAGCTTACAGTAGCAAATATATGTTGCATGCTGTCGATTATCAATGTGCTGGGCGTATTTGTTCGTGGAGTTCATGTGTGAGATGGAAGAGGCTGATTTGGGAGATGTGGCATATGAAAAGCAGAGAGAAGCAGAGTTCGTGATGTATATCAGAACAAGTACAGCATCTCTCCACCAGGCCATTATTCTTCCGCGGTCGGTACTAGTGCATGAGACATGTCTTTCTCTTTCCCAGCACCAACCTGCATATCGCAAGTGCAGTAGTACCAATCCCCATCCCCATCCAATCTGGATATCTCAATCTCCCATGCATTCATACACCCCATGTCCTACTCCAAACACACGTCCGCAAAATCAGCTTTCCAGTCTCTCTCTCTCTCTCTCTCCTTCTCCCACTTGCTCACTCGTCAACCTACTCCTCACTCTCTCAGATATCATACTCCCTCTTGACTAGGACGTCGCCGCCTCCTCCTTCATACACAGCCAGCCTCTGGCTCAGCTCGTCGATCCTCTGCCGCAGGTTGATGACGCTTGCGTGCAGATGGCGCAGCCAGGCTGCCGTGTCGGCTGGAGTTCCGGGGCCAAGTACAGGTGCAGAGCCAGAGCTAGCGCTAGAGCCCGTGGTGGTGTAGCCTCGTGGTGCAGTGTCTTGAGGGCCGCGGCGACGCTGTTGGCGCTGAGGCTGGCGCTGAGACTGAGGTTGGTGCTGGTGCTGATAGTTGCCCTGCAGGAGGTTCGATGCAGACTGTGCACTTTGCATCTGTGTCTGAGCCCGACCATGTCCGTGTCCGTGACCGTGTCCGTGACCGTGTCCGTTTCCCTGACCTTGTGCCTGTCCGTATCCCCATGTCGGTGCTTGTCCCTGTGTCTGCATCTGTCCTGGTACCAAGGCTTGTCCTTGCATACCACGTGCTGTTCCGACTCCATTTCCAACTCCAACTCCCACTCCCATTCCAGTTCCATTGCCAGTTCCAGTTCCAAATCCCATTCCAGTTCCCACTCCAGCCCCAACCCCCATTCCAATTCCAACTCCAGCCCCCATAGTAGGAAGCACACGAGACATGATGGGCACAGTCGGCACAGGCGCCGCCGCCGTAAAAGCAGCAGAAAAAGGAAAAGTAGGAGAAGTACGACTTACCACGAAAATGACATCTCGGTTTCCCAGTCTGACGCTCGCATCGGTTGGATGGCGTACTTGGCAGGGCATCGTGTTGTATTCGAGCTTGATGTAGCGTTGGATCATTTTGTCGTTCTTGTTAGCAGCGCTACTGGCATTACCATTACCGTTACCGTTGTTGTTGATGTTACCGTTGATGGTACCGCCGTTCGTGTTGGTGTTGGTGTTGCCATTGTTGTTGCCGGGCACATGTACAACATAGCGCCAGAGAAAAACATAGTCGGTGCCAAACGTCTTGTTGCGCTGGTGACAGTATGCCGAAAGCGGAGGCCCAAATAGCTGGTTTGGCAAGATGTTGAGGAGGGAGAGGGCGGGAAATGGTGGGGTGGTGGTGGGTGGAGACGTGTTATTGATGACGAGGGTGAGGGGGGGCGTGATGTTGGCGGCGTTGGCGTTGACGGTGTTGGTGTTGGCGTAGGTGTTTCGAGTGCCGGCTGTAGTGGCAGTGGGGGGCTGGGATGGGTGTTAGTAAGTGTGAAAGGAATGGATGGATGGATGGATGGAGAGGAATACCTTTTTCTGTCGCTGCTGGGACTGCGGTGCCCGTATAGCCATGGTACGCGGATTCTGCTGTTGCTGTTGCTGTTGCTGATGCTGCTGCTGGTAGACTTCCCGCATCATGACCGACAACGTGCCAGCCTTTTCATCATGGTTCATGGCATTCCACATAGCAGGATCGGGGCCGATGTATGAAGTCTCTGGGCCTTGTCTGCGTTAGCTCAGCCTGATTTCAAGGATGTTTTTGTAACGTACCACTCGGTACAGTGCGTTCCCAAACTTCCTGTCCTGTTTCTTCGGTTGGTTGCAGCAGTCGCTGCATATGCGGTGCTGTAGCGTTCTCACCTCCATGATCATGTCTCATCTTTTCCTTCTTACCAACAGGCTTGGACTCTGGACTGGCTTCTGGAGAAGCAGTTGCCTTTCGTTTGACGGGTTCGCGCTGTACCACGGTGTTGTCATTCTCTTGACCGGGTATGGGAACAGGATTGTTTGGCTGTGTCAGTGTGTATGAGGATTCGACGTGAGAAGCAGACGCAGTTTCGGCGTTGTCAGCAAGGGCTGAACGCTTCTTTACGCATTTCGACCGCTTATCACGCATGTGACGCTGTTATCAATTAGCTCTCGATTACTACTAAGTAGCTTCTGCACTTACATTCAATGCGGGTTTAGTAAAGTACTTCTTCTCACAGTGAGGACATTCGAAAATCCCCTCAGACCCGCCGGCCGAGTGCTCGTCGGTAAAGCCCGTAGCATCTGGAGCAGGGGATTGTGGTTCAGTCTGAGGACCAGAAACCGCGGGATCTGCCAAGTCAGATGGTGGCGTCTCTGCAAACTCGGGTAGTAGAGGTATGGGTTCAACCACACTGCGGCTTGTTAGTACTCGGTCAGTACCATATCACAACACAACTTACCCGCCCTCATGCGGACCAGCAGTCTCGTTGTCCATTGTCGATTCTTTTCAGACCAGGTCTCTCCACGTTGAAAGTAGCAAATGTGGGATGAGTTTTCAACCCCATACGCTGACCCACGAGCCGTTATATACCAGCTAAGCGAGTTCTCTCACTTCACGGTGAAGAGCAAATCTCGCAACGGACCCCGCGCGACGCGTATCTGTCTGTGCTTTGTCAACAAAACCGTTTGGTCTTTCTCGGGTGATGTGGTGAAGGCTGAATGCAGGTGAAAGACGGAAAATATGTCTAGGTACTGAGCCACCATAAGATCATAACAAAGTATGTAGGCAAAACGCGAGGTCAATGGCCAGATGGAAGTCGATATCTTCAACGAAAATCCACAGACATCTACTTTTTTCCGCTACGCCCTAATCTGCGAAACAAATAAACATAACAAAATCTAAAAGTGTGAAGGAGCTTGTATTTAGTGTCCTCAAGTATCATGTTCGTGTTTATGCTCCTCTCACTATGTACTAGAACAACAAGATATGATATTCTAAATGACGTGCTAGTAGCTTTCTGTAGAGGGGAACAGCTTACGGGGTTTGAACATGGAAAATGACCTTTACTACGTTGTGGAGTTGTTCTTCTATACACGTGTACGGCTAGAGGGACACTAAAAACGAGCACCTTTGTATACTGTAGACTTGACCATTTCAACTGATTCACGCTTCACAGCACCAGACTGAATGATTGAAAGTAATGATTTATATACCAAACAATGCTAACCCAGACACCTCGCTAGCAAAAGCAGGCTTCGCGGACAAACAAACAGTACGCATACAAAACAGCCTCGCCATCATCATACAAACTTCTACTTTTCCCATCAAGGCAGCCTCAGACAGATACTGGTGCTCCCGAGCAGCCTATCCAAACAGCTTCTTCACATCTGACAGCTTTAAAGATGCGCCTGCATCGAGCATGACGATCAGCATGTCAAAATTAAGACCTGGCCTCCTCAAGCTCGAGCTCAAGCTGTCGGATGCGCTCATCCTTTTCACGGTCAGAGGGTTCTGAGCCTCCTCCCACCTTGGACTTGAGTTGGGTGACTTCTCGCAGCAGAATGGCAATCTGGTCCGACTGATCCAGCATGACCTTGTTTTGCTGCTCGAGCTGAGACTTGATGTCGCCTAATGCGTCGCGGAGAGCAGAGGCAGGGCCACCAGCGCTGGAAGCGGGAGCAGGGGTAGAGACGGGAGTGGAATCGGCTGATGTGGAGGTCTTGGATTGAGAAGGCGCAGGGGTATGGCTGGAAAATGACTTGGCAGGCTCGGGTTCCTTGGTCATGACAGGACCCCTAGTCTTCTCTTCCTGACGCGCACTCGTCACGTTACGGCGATCTGCGGGCTTGGGAATCTCCTCAAAGCTGGATGCACTCTCGTCGTCAGAGGCGTTGTCCTTGTCCAGGTACTTGGAAGCGGCAGAGGCCATGGAGTCCTTGTTGTCGTTCATGGATGATGGCGGCCCACGGGAAGCTAGGGGCGCATGTGTCGGCTCGGGCGCAGGCCTGGGCGCTTCTGTCTTGACCGGCGCAGACTCGCTGACTGCCGGCTTGGAAGGCTTGTAGTCGCTCTGCACCTCCTGAGGCGCGCCGCCATCGTAGACGCTCTCGAGCGAGATCTTGGGTGGCAGGGCAGTCTTGCCGCCGAACCATTCGCCAGCCGAGACACCGGGCTTGAGGCCAGTGGTGGGCGGGTAGATGTCGCTCTGGAACATCTCGGATCGGCGGGGCACGATGAAGGAGACGGGCTCGATGTAGGCATCGTTGACCGTCTTGAAGCAGCGGAGGACTTCGTTCTCGTGCAGGTTGATACCCCGCTTGGGAAGGAAAGCAATGCCGCGCTGGGGCTCGCCAGACTTGTACTCGGAGAGGTATTCAAACTTGTCGTTTTCGTATTCGTAGTATCGGATGTTGCCGTCACTGTCATGGTCAGAAGCAGATTGTTGACGCGGGCGGCTTGTACATACCCCTTGCCAGCAAGGAACAGGCAGTTGGTGCCGTCGTCCCAGAAGGGCATGCAGACACCGGAGATGGAGTCGAGAATCTGGAAGCCGCCAATGGGCTCGTTGGGGTTGCGGGGGTCCCAGAGACCAAGCTGGCGGTCGCTCATCTTGGAGAAGCCCGTCGTGGCAATGCGGTTGGCCTCGCCCATCCATACCGCACGGCTGTTCTTGGCACCAGGATGGCCGGGCACCTCTTGGGCGGGCCGTTCCTGACGCACGTCCCACACGCGCAGCTTCTTGTCTCTGCTCGTGGTGACGAGCAGCGCTCCGTCGGCGCTCCACGACAGCGACTGGACAATGTCGTTGGCCTTGAGGGTGAGGCGGGGCGTGGCAGCCTCGACGTCCCAGATCTTGAGCGTGTAGTCGCCCGAGGCGCTGGCAAGGACGTTCTCGGCGGCGGGGTTGAAGAGGACGTGGCCGACTTTTCTACACAAAGGGTTAGGGCGTGACGTTGCAAGGGAAGCGCTCAGGCGCACCTCTGGTGGCCGCTCAGCCTGGCGACGGGAGACACATCCGGGGGCTCTTCGGCGTCGGTGTGCAGGGTGAAGTCCTTGGGGACCTTCCAGAGGAAGACCTTGCCGTCGTCCGAGGCCGACGAGATGAGCGAGTCGTTGAAGGGCGACCAGTCGGTGTCGAGGACGGCGGCCGTGTGTCCGCGGAACAGAGGCAGCACGTCGGGGGCGCGGCCGCGCTCGTTGATGGGGATGACGGCAAAGGCACCGCCTCCGCTGGCCTCCCAGTTGACGGCAACGTATTCGGGGTTGGCCTAGGGGCAGTGAGTGCGAGAGCAGGCCAGGTCGCGTGCGCGTGGGCTGACCTTGATCAGGTTGGTGTCCCAGGCATTCTTGCTGATGCGCAGGTTATCGTAGCATTGTTCCTGGGGCCGTCAGCGGCCGGCCATGGCCGTCGTGGTGCATGCAGGCGGCAGCGTACCTTCTTGGTGCCCTTGCCAAAGACATGGCCTGGCCGTGGACGTCAGCTGGGCGGCGCCGGGCATCAGGACGAGGGGGCTACTCACGATACTTGGAGGCGCGCACGAATCGGCCGGCCATTGCGAAGCGGGAAGAATGATGGATGGGCAGGCCCCGGGGCGCGACGAGGGCTGCAGAGGGGCGCGGAGAGATATGGGCGGCTTGGGGCTGGAGGCAATGGGGGGAGAGGGGGCGAGAGAGGGTGCGCGCGGGTGGATGGTGTGTTGTTTCGCCCTGGGACGCTGTGTTGCCCCCAGCAGCCCCATCGTCAGCGCCTTGGCAGGTGGAGCCTCGCTCACTACGTGCTGACAGTAGTCCAACGCCTACAAGTACGCCCACGCCCACACAACCTCGCACCCCACTCCCTCTCCACCACCGTCACCGCCGCCATTGCTGCTGCAGCTGTTCATGCACCCGCCGCCCGCATGCATGGGCGCAGCATGATCTCCAGCTAGTCGCCTCCTAGCCCATGGCCGTTGGGTATGACCTGGCGATGCACGCCCGCAGCCACAGACGGCCATTCTTCTGAGCGCCTGGCCGCCATGCACCGCCTGCCAGCAGTCTATCCATGCACCCTCTCTCACGCCCGAAACACGCGCTGCCTGACATGTCTACGCGCTGCCTTACATGTCTTCGCGCACCCGCCTGCCCGCCCGCGCCTCCATGATGCCCAGCTCTTCGCACAGCCCCCGCAGCCAGATGGCCCAGTCGTTGTCGCCCGCCTGCAGCACCACATTGGCCCGTGGATACACGACCCACTGCGCGCCCGACACGGCCTTGTCGACGCCCTTGTTGAAGAGCTGCGTCTGCGCCCGGCTCCACGACTGGAACACTTGGCACAGCTGACGGCGGACGCAGTCCTTGTAGGCCGTTGCGACCACGTGGGCGTAGCGCTCCATGTACTTTCGCAGCGACGGCCGCCCTTGGCAGTCAATCGCTACGTTGCTGGGCGACTCGTCAGCGCACACGTCAGTCCGGCGCAGGTACGCAGTGTAGCCATCAACCGCCTCGACAAAGCCCGTGGCCCACACCAGCGCTTCTGGAACGCTGTTCTGAAAGTCGGCCGCGTGCTCCAGATGCGTCGCCACGAGCGGGAAAATGTACGACAGCATCGTCCCCAGCGCCACGCCCACGTCGAATGGCCGCTCGCCCATGTCCCGGGCAATGGCAATGGCCTGCGGAATCTCCAGGGCGCGAGGGGCTTCGTGCGTCGCCAGCGAGCTGTCGCCAGCGTGTCTGATTTTTTTGTTTGCCTGCTCGGGCAGCTGGCCACCGTCTGCCGTCGGCCCCGGCCGCTTTAGACCCTGGCCGTGTCCGTCTGCCATGGTGGCATACAAGTCCATGTTGGATTTGTTTGCGTGTCTGAAGTGGTTTCGACCGGCTTCCACTGAGACCTTGGGTGTCTGGGGGTCGGAGGGGTTTCCTCGAGCAAGGGTGTGCACTGACAGTGCAAAGGCGACGGTCCTGTGGAAACACTCATTGCTGACATGGGAGGTATACTGCCTATGTAGGGCAGGTTTATCGCTTGTCTTAAATTGCTTGGTCTCTTTTGCCACCGGAGCAAAGCCATACGTGTGTGTGTGCACACCGTCTAATTCAACGACAGGTTGGGCTTTGGACCTTTGGTTCTTCGGCAATCGACTAGTCTTTGCTCCAGAGGTAGCCGCTTTACTCGACACACAACTGTACCGACCGCCCTGATGCGTCTGCATAGACGGCCCAAGCACCCACCACGTCCATGTGTGCAATGTGCGTCTCTTGATATCTGTCCAAAATGCCACTGTCCTTGGGGGTGCACCGAGTGATAGTCTGCTGGACCAGGCCAACATGTCGACTGGGTTCTATACGACATGTTTGTCGGGTATGCTTTCGATTCGCTCGCGGTAGTCGGCAAGGTGACGCGCTAAACTTACCCATTATTCTCCATACCAAGATGCATGAACAGAAGCCCGATCAAGGCGGTGAGATTACGTAGGACCCCCAACATGTCTACCGATATCAAGGGAACTATTTCCCACTGCGTCGGGAGGGGGGTTCGAACGAGAGCAAGACTCACGGCCCAAGCAAAGGAGGGGGCGTACTTGGTCTGCCTGTGTGGTGTCGAGGATGCATGAACCAAGGGCCACAGGCAAACGGTTCGCGCTGTCTCGAGCATGCGTCCCCACCTGCCGAGAAAGCTTGACGAGCAGGCGACGATCATGGATGATTTCGATCAGCGGGGTGAATGGAGTAGTTGGAGTAGGGGTGTGTGTGTCGAGATGGCTGGTTGCCATAGCCGGCTAGACGGCCAACCTGCCTCGCCAGTCGCGTGCGCCCCTGGCGGCCGCTCGCCGGAGATGAAGGCCAGGCAGCATCAAGGTTTGCCAGGTGCAGCAGCCGTTGCAGGCTGCATGAGATTGTAGCTGGCGCTGGCGGGCGGAAGGCCAGCTGCTGTACCAAGCACCTGGCTCTCGCTCGGCCATGCACGATAGGATAGCTGGACCTCGGCCCCCGGAGCTAGCGGCAACTGACAAGTCGCGCGGCCAGCGTGTGCGGAGACGCAGAGACGCAGAGACGCATACATGTAAGCAGCCGGCCATGCCCTTGGCCTGACTCCGCCCAGACTCCCCGATTCTTTGCTCCCGCCCTGAGAGACTGCCACTGCTGTACATTGCGGCCCTCGCCTGTCATGTCCGACGCCGACCAGACGCTGAACGACGCCTCCGACGTGGCCACGCCGCCCGACGTCAAGGACATGGCCGATGCCGCGCCCGCCGCCGCGAGCCCCAAGCACATTCGCAACCGCGACCTCGCAGCCGGCGTCCGCAAGGTCGACGAGACGCTCCTGAGGCTCAACAAGTGCGTGCCGGGCGCGCCCAAAGCATTGCGCCGCGAGCTAATGTGAGCAGACTGCTAGCCTCGCCAGGCGGCCTCTCCGCCTTCCTCTCGACCCTCAACTACTCGCTGTACATTGTCGCGTACCTGCAGACAAAGTCGCCCTCCATCTCGGCCTTTGCCCAGCGCCTCCTCTCCCTCGTCCGCCCCACGTGCGACGACACAAAGATACCCGCCACCAGCGTCGTCGACGATGGCTCCGTGCCGCCCATTGCTGCCCTGGCCGTCCTGCTGTCCAAGACGCGCACCAACCTGAGGCTGTTTGGCCTCTTCCCGCTGTACGCATGGCTGCGCTCGCTCTCGTCGGGCCCCAAGCCAGGCGCAGACGTGGTCCTGCACGGCATCGCCACGCTGCAGGCCGGCAGCTACTTTGTCTACCAGTTCCTCGAAAACATCTGTCTCCTCGCCGACTCGGGCGTCGTGCCTCCCCGCGCCATTGCCGCACTCAACCGCGGCGACTCCAAGACGGCGACGCTGTACCTTACCGCATACCGCTGCTGGCTCGGCGGCGTCGTGTGCGACTATCTCCGTCTGGTGCGTGAGTGGCAGCTCGAGGCCCGCAGGAGGGCCACGCGCCAGCACATGGCGGCCGATGGACGGGCACTTGCAGAGCACCAGGACGAAGAGGACCGCAAGTTTGACAAGAGGTGGTGGACCGACCTGGCCATTGCCAGCACGTGGTTCCCCATGGCACTGCATTTCAGCAGCGCAAGCGGTGGTATACCAGGCTTCAACCTGGGCGTCATGGGTGTCTGTGGTTTACTTGCGGGATGCACAAGGACAAAAGCATTGTGGGACAGCACTGCATAAATTGGTTGGCGCATGCCGAGTGCGCTGGGACGAGGGAACAGATTCAGTGGTTGTTGGGATTTTGCTTGCACGCTTCAACAGTGTCTTTTTTTGGTTTTATTCATGTACATGTAGACATATAACTACCAGATGCACCGTACATAAGTTTGCTCACATAAACCTCGGTGGTACCTGTGCCTGGCTTGCTGACAGCATGCGCTAACCACTTGTGGCAAGTCTAACCGACTATCCACAAGTGGAAGTGGGGAGTCGACTGCCGCCACACTTCACCTCGTCGGATGCCGCCAGCATTGGGTCTGCCCAAGACCCGATAAGAAAGGATATGTCTTCTTATCGTCTTGCAAAGACTTGATTAATTGCACACTCACAGCTCGACAGTGATTTCGCAGTTGCAGATTCACAAAATCCACCGACATGACAGGCTCCCATGTAGGCTCTAGCCAGCATAACACGGATGCAACTAACACATTCAGACTGCGCGAAATGCGCCGAGAACTGCATTCGACATTGTAGAGGCTAGCATCGCTGACCACCGACAAGCCCTCGATTCAGGCGAGATTACCAGCGTTGGCCTAGTCGTCAGCTATCTCAGCCGCATTGCACGCTACGACACGTGCCAAGGCCTCAATGCCTTTACCGTCTTCAACGACAACGTCCTTGAAGAGGCAGCAGCCTCTGATGCCCGGCGAGCACTGGGACTGAAGCCACGGCCACTAGAAGGTATACCCTATACCATCAAAGACAGCTACAAAGTTGCCGGCATGACTGCAACGGCGGGGTCTCCTGCTCTCAAGGGCGTCATGTCGAATGGAGACTCGGCCATTGCAAAGAAGCTGCGTGATGCAGGCGCAGTCTTGATGGGAAAGACAAACATGCCGCCAATGGCTGCGGGAGGCATGCAGAGGGGGTTGTATGGCCGTGCGGAATCCCCGTACAACTCCAAGTACCTCACTGGTGCCTTTTCCTCTGGATCGTCAAATGGTGCAGGAACATCGGTAGCATCAAGCATGGCGGTTTTCGGCATGGGCAGCGAGACAGTGAGCAGTGGGCGTAGTCCGGCGTCGAATAACGCGCTAGTCTGCTATACCCCGTCAAAGGGATGGCTGAGCTGTCGCGGACTCTGGCCGCTGTACGTCACGTGTGATGTACCGACGCCGTATGCGCGGTCTGTGGAAGACATGCTCGAGATTCTGAATGTGATTGCTACGCCGGACGAGGACACAACCGGGGACTTTGTACGTGAGCAGAAGCATGTAGAGATACCACAGCCGCCTCAAATCGACTACATGACACTCCGCAGGACGGATGCACTCAAGGGAAAACGCATCGGAGTCCCGAAGATGTATGTAGGCCAAAAATACTCTGATCCGCACGCAAAGCCTACCTATGTTTCGCCAGAAGTAATCGCCCTCTGGGAAGCCACCGCTCGAGACCTCGAAACCCTCGGCGCAGAAATCATCTACACCGACTTTCCTCTCGTCACAAACTACGAAAACGATTCTGTATCTGGTGAGGCCAACAACGTCGTGGGCCAACCAGCCGACTGGAACCATCTCGAGCGCGGCATTCTCATAGCCCAGGCCTGGGACGCCTTTCTTGTGCAGAACAACGATGCAAACATCAAATGTCTAGCCGATATCAAAGACCCGGCCATGCTCTTCCCCAAGCCAAGAGACTACAAACCCGATACCTTTCTCGAAGTCCGAAACTGGATCAACTACGCAGGACTGCCTGACCTCGTGCAGCCAAACAAAAGCATCCACGACGTACCTGGTCTAGCACAAGCTCTCAGTGCGTTAGAAGCCCAGCGCAAACGCGACCTAGAAGACTGGATGGACGCCCAGCATCTCGACGTCATGGCATTCCCCGCCCAAGGCGACGTGGGGCTCGCGGATCTCGAATTCAATCTTGAAAGCAGCACACACAGCCTCCGCAACGGCGTCAAGTACTCCAACGGGAACCGCGCAATCCGCCACTTGGGCGTCCCGACTGTCAGTGTGCCCATGGGCATCATGGCCGGCGACAAGAAGATGCCTGTCAACATGACGTTTGCAGGCAAAGCCCATACCGACACGCAATTGCTAGCGTATGCATATGCGTTTGAACGTGCGACAAGGAGAAGAGAAGCGCCGTCTTTAACACGTAAATTGGAAACCGATCTTGTGCCTCGCACGGTGCCCTCGCTATCAGCATCGCCACACAAGATTCTCGGGGACATGGCTGTCACGGTTACAGAGCGCCCGGCGCCGCATCAAGTATCGCTGGCTATCGGCGGTACGCTGAATGCAGCGGCGACTGGGGACAAGCAGACCAGGATTGAGGTTTTCGTCGACGGAAAAGCAGCGGCGAGCACGGTTTGTGGGGGGACGGAGTGGGCGGTGGCAGTCACGGTTGAGCTTGAAAGACGGCAGATGCTGGGCTGGGATCTGGAGCCCATGCCGTGTAGAGATGTCATGGTTGTAGTTGTTGTGACAGATCAAGGGCGGGTGACAAGGGAGGCGAGGTTAGCTTGGGGGCGAGTGGATTGATCTCATTCTGGTTTTCGTTTCTTGCTAGAAGTATATGAACGAGTGATATAACTGGACTGATTGGCAATAAGGTATTTGTTTAGTACATGTACATTTTCTTTTGATTCTCTTGGTTTTTTATGGGGGGGGGTTTTTTTTAAAGAGATGATTTAGCAAAGACCACACATTCTTCTCTCCTCCCTCCTACATACATACAATAACATGCCACAACAAGATGCCAAAGAGCACAAACATGCCTTTGTTTCCACAACATGTATCAACCCCGCTGACACTGCATGCATAACCACACCCGCGCCCAACATGACACACTGGACAAACCTAAAACCTATTCGCCTAACCGCAACTATTTCCCCTTACAGCATCTCGTCTCCTTGGCCATTGTTTCAACACCAGAAACGAGAAGTCGAGCCGAGCCGAGCCGAGCATAGCAGCACACATGCTTATAGCAAACGAGTTTCATGGATTGGAAACGCCTGGATTTGTCCCATAAACGGGGGGGATGGGAGGAGGAGATATAGAGAGAGAGAGAGAGAGAGAGAGAGAGATAGAGAGAGGGGTTGTCGCCAAGACATGACCTACCTACTTTACTTACGTAGTCAGTCAGTAAGTAAGTATGGACAGATTGATTTTCCTGATATATTTTCTGTTTTTTTTTCATTCATACAGCTACTGTAGTCCAATATCAAACAAGGTACACAGTTGTAGACTTTACTATACTATACTATACTATACTATACTATACTATACTATACTATACTATACAGTACCTTTTTTCCATTTATTTACTTACTTAGTTGGTTTTCTCTTCCTTGTCCCTTGTTCCACGTCCTACGTACGTAGTTAGCCGATTAATCCCCCCCTCGCTGGTACATAGCAGACAGTCAGCCGAACCGGATATTAGATCCAAGCTTGGCAGTACCTACTGGTGATACACAAACACGAAAGATGGGGCCGACTGAGTGGCCGAAAATATGCGTCGCAAGAAAACACAGGAAAAAAAAAGAGAGAGAGCACGTTCCCCTAGCGCTTACATGATCTCGCCTACGCCTACGCCTCCGGGCTTGTGCGGTTGGTTGGTTGGGTTGGTTGGGTTACGGATAGATGTACGGGGTTGGGGGACTAGGTGGTAACAGGTAGATGTACGTGTACACGGGTGTTTTGTATATATATATATATATATATCCAGCTGATTCCCGTTCGTCAAGTGTCCATTATCCAAAAACTTGACTTTTCTCTCCACGATTCTTATTTTTCTTTTTCTCCCGAGGTTTCTTTGCATTGCAAAAAAAAGGACCCATCGACACAAAACACAAACACAAACACAAACGTAACCATGCGTTTTTTTCCGCCTGGTCGCCGCATCGCTCCTCGGCATGGTGGCTTCGTCGGCCGCAAGCTGCACGTCGACGTGCAATCGCAATACCGTCAACCAGCGCTGCACGACAACCTGTACTGTACGTATCTGCGCTCAAACAAAAAAAGGGGGGGGGCTCTTGCTCTGCATGAAAATGAAAAAGAAAAAAAAGCTAACGCAAGAGAAAAGCCTGGCGGTACCGCTCAGGGAACGTGTCTGCTTGAACGGGATGGAGTGAATGCCGTTTGCAACACGGGTGGATAGGCTAGGATGGGTTGGGCTGTGTGTGTGTTACTGCAGGAGCCACAGGGATTAGTGGAGCCAGCAAGTCAGGGCAGCGAGAAAGTAAGCTACTGCAGCGAGGACAAGCATGTCAAACTCCAGATATACAAGAATGCTGGTTACTGGGATGGCTATTCACGCTTGGAAGGTAGATGGAAACCATTCTTTGTATACAGCGAGTCATTGCTATATTACTAGACACGTAGCCATGTATCGTATCCTATGCACACATCTAGATCGTCTACCCGTGAGCCTATACCATGACACTGAGTGAGGGGCATAGTACCGGGGGTAATACAGTGACATGGTCCAAAACTACGCTATCGAATATCCCTCTCTCGGCGGCAAAGCCGGACTAACTGGAACAAGCAATGTTAAATATAGTCTAGAGAGACTGGTAGTACGATAGGGCTACTGCGCTATTTCCTAGTGTAGTCGGATGTAGTAGTATTGCTTTTTACAGAGTAAATGTATGTGATAGTAGCTATGTTTGTAGTGTCATGGTAAAACTACCGTCTGGTTGTAGTGCAAAGTGAAGATGGTCGGTGGAAATAGAACGATAGGGCTGGGATATGAGGATGTTGACGAGAGTTGAGAGCGTATTTTCTTCGTTGATGGATTTGTGTGGGTTTGACATGTCGTGAGACGAGGAGATATCTGCCGTAATGCTGTATATGGGCAGTAGAAAGAAGTTTGTCAAGGAATTTCCGTCGTTTTCCTGGATAAAAGTTCGTTTTAGAGTGAGAAAGGGTATTATTTCTGACTTTCTGTAGGCAACGTGATGAAGATATTTGTAGAAAATAAGTTGTAGCATGCATGCGTGCCGGCATTATGGCTAGGATGGTTGGAGAAACGGCGGGAAACTCGGTGCTGTATGCTGCGATATTAAGTTGCCGTATAAAACTCTAGCCAGCGAGTTTGTAGATTCATCTTTCGTTTTGGACAAATAATACATGGTTGCATGATTCTTGATCTGAAGCTGGGGAATCTGAGAAACGCGATCGATGGGAGTCGGTGGAGGAGAAGCTTTGAGATGGGCGGTGAGAGTCATCGGTTGTGATTCGTGTATGTCGATGTCTAGTGGGTCGGGTTTCTAGCCTTGTCAACTCATCTCGATGGTCGAGTGTCCAAGTCTGACCATGGGTGTCAACCTTGTACTCGAGTCAATGGCTCTGTAACGAAAGATGTCCTTGACTGCCATTAAGACAGCCGACGGAATTGGTCAGTACAAGACAAAAGTTGAAAACAATGAGTAAGAGAAGTGACGTCAAGAGCAAGACATGTAATGTAAAGATGTTGATTCAAAACCACTCCAAATCTCGTAAAGATTCATATACTCCTACAAAACAAACAAACAACTCCATATCCGTCGCTTAAGCGATTCCCACAGTCATGATGATTTGTCGTATCCGTCGGATGGGGTATTGTGTTGACTCGATGGACATTTACATGACAGTGCACCAGCAGGACTCGTCGCAGCCGCAGCACTCGCACGACTCGCCGCACTTGGGAGCGGGAGAAGGCTTGATGATGGTGGAGACGGAAGAGGCGACGCTGGCAGGCATTTTGAAGGTGGTGGGTTGGTGGGTTGCTGGAGGATATGTTAAAACGTGGCACTAAGAGAAGAGGAGGCAATGGGCGACTTACTGTGTGTGTGGGAAGAGGTGGGAAGAGTGGATACGAGATTGAAGTGTTTGTGTGAGAGTGAGTTGGATGGAGAATGCAAGTGAGGCGGCGGCAGCGGTTGGCTTTATAACGTTGGTACTGGGGGATCAGCAGGACGACGGGCTTCGGACAGGTGCCGCCTGTAACAAGCAAAGCGGACTTGGTCGCAGCCGCAACCCCCGTCGGCGTGGGCTGGGCGGTAGCAACTAAGCGTCGAAGTCGAGGAGGGCGTGCATGGCCAGTTTCAACCGCTGCCACATGTCAGGCGTGCGATTGGCCTGGGGGGGCATGGAGCACCGCCTCGTCGGCCCCTGGAACATGTTGCGCCAGGCGGGCTGCGAGTCTAGACGACAGCGTATATGGGACGGGCAGAGAAGAGCGTGGCTCAGCCAGTCTGAGGCAATAACGGGGCCTCGTCATTCGGCGCTTCTCGTATCACATCTGCAGTTGGCCATGCAGATCCTGGCCGTGTGCAGACGCCCCATTGCGCAACTAAGCTGCGCTAAGCTTCGCCGCGGTGCTAAATCCCTCACAGCATGCAGGAATAAGCTTCCGCCAAGCGCCCGGCGACGTCTTGATGGCTGTGGCGAGGCCTTGTGACGCCAGACACGGTGGAGCGGTTCCACGGCCGCGACATGCAATCCGGGCTGAGCCACAGCTGGCGGCGGGCAGGCAGGGCAGGCAGACGTCGCTCTGCATGCGGTGCGTCAGCGGCCGTGGTGGTTGTCGTTGGGAGTGCCATGCGACGCGGGCGCGGGCGGCGTGTGACTGGGTAAGCTGGCGACGGCGCTTCTGTGGCCGTCTCAGGCTGCGGACTGCGGATACGTCGCCGTGGAAATGACTTGACGGGCCAGCGACTAGCAGTGGCCGCGCTCGTGTGTGGCTGTGAGGGGGAGGGGGGAGGGGGGATGCTGACCAGGGCGGGCCGAAGCAGCAGAGGCAGAGAGGCAGAGAGGCAGAGAGGCAGAGAGGCAGAGAGGAGGCAGAGGCGGGTCGTGGGCGCGGCATTTGCTGGAAGAGTCGCTGACAATGCATCGCACACGCTGGCTTGGCGTCCAGCTGGCACCGTCGTCGTCGTCTTCATCGCTGTCGGAAACGGCCACATCGCATCCGGCGCCGACATGGAAGCCCGACACGCCTCCGATGCCGCCCAGCGACCCCGGCCTCGCCCACTGACAGCGATATGCTGTCCTCTCCCCGCCATACATGTCAAGTACCAAGCCTGCAATGTGGCTGCATGGATTCACGCCCAAAATGAAGCAATCTGCCCCGCCAGCCTCACCCATCCACCGCAACCATCCACCGCAGTCATCCAGAGCGCCTCCTTGGCCCTCCCTTTTCACCGTACGTACTCCCGTACGCGCTGCGGCCCCAGCCCCCAGCCGGATGCCTCCGGATCGCCTCTTGTGGCTGAAACCCTCCAGATTAATGCGAACAAACACCCGCCGCGCGAGGCTTGTCAGTTCCTCCACGATCCGGTGAGCTCGTAAGCTTCGCCACGCCCGGAAAAAAGCATCGCTGCTCATCTCGGCACAGGAGCCCCCGACCAGCCTCACATGGCGGCAGCTGACGGAAAAAACCCGCACCCTCTGCAAAAAGCGGTCGACGACAAACTACGTCACTGCCCGTCCGGCTCAGACGGGACTAGCGCGTCGTGAATGCTACCGCTTCCGCCTCGCAACAACGTCTTGTTGGAAAAACGTCGTCTGCATCGTCGACTCATGTCCGCCCAGCCTGCTCGCCTTGGCCCACACTCCAAAAAGCTTCTGTGCTGCAATGGCCCCGCCTACTTGTTTCTCCATCCTCACCCACCACACGTGCGTCAACTTACGAGTGCCTTCAACCCATGGCTGATTCACGCGCTGCCTCGCGAGCACCTCATACGTGCCCGCTTCAAACGCAAAGCAGTAGCCTTTGCGTATTCGTCGCTCACCCGGAGCAACGACACGACAAAACCCGATGATGTAGGAATACTCGATCGGCGCGTTGCTGGCCCAGCCACATGCACGGAAAGATGCCCAGGGTCCTTGGCTGCTATTTGCCCGAGTGCCTTGGTCTTCTGCTCTCAGCTCTTGTCAGCCACCTTCTCCACGTTTCTTCCATGGCCAGCAACGTCAGCCTACCGCCGCCTCCTGGCTTGAACCCAGTGCCCGCAACAAAGCCACCGCCGGCCTGGCCCGAACAGTTGCCTTGCTGGCTGCAACGGAAGCTGCCGGACCAAAACGAGCAGTATCCACCAAAACGCCCCTCGATCTGCTTACCCACCGTCTCATCCTTGATAGGCCAAGTGAGGCTTGGTCCAGCTAGCACGTGGGAATCAAGCCTAGCGCCATGGTTACGAGGATGAGCAAAGATATGATGGTGAGATGTGAAATTCTGCCATGTCATGTCTGCTGTGGTATTGTCCTGAGGACTGGAATCAGTGAGAATGATCTTTCAGGCACGCATGCCCCAGAACACACCATCTTGTACTCAAACCAACATTTCCAACGTCTTCATAACACCCTCGTAAACTCACACTCGCACAACCGCACCATGACATGATATTCGCCGAGCCCCGCTGCCAAAACTCCCAGCCAAGCCTCCCCGTACCCAGACACGCATCTGCCAAGCCCAGCCCGCTGCCATGCCAATATGCTTACCTACTGCCAATACGACCATACAAAGCCACGGCGAATAAACCTTGTCCCCCTTTTTTTCTTCTCATCTATTGTCGGTGTGCAACATTGTTGCGTCTACGTGTTCTCTGCTCATCTGCCGGTGTCGGCGGGCCCCATCTCCTTGGCACCTTGCCCATTTCAACTTGTATCCAGATTAATCGCTCAGCCTTGCTATTCGCCCTCGTTGCAAGTACCGGCTCAATACGCACATCAAAGGGGAAAGATCGCCGCGAGGATCAATGTGGGGTTTGTGGTGGAGAAGCCAGAAGCGTCGGCCAAGTTTTGGGGGGGGGGGGACACATGTCACTTGGATGTACAGTGATTAGTATTGGAAGAATTGTGGGGAATCAAGTGTTTTACACATGTTGTGCCCTTGTTTGAATAGGACTATGGACTTACTATTTACTGAGGTTTCAAATCTTTTTACTGGTGCGTCATGTTTCCAACTTTGCGCTTTGTTTGGAGTCTAGGGTTTGCGCTGCAGAAGACGGTTTCAGGTGATGCTAAGTAAAAGTGCTGACACTCGAGACTTGCGTGGCCCGCTATCCAACGGCCGAGTATGTTACGTACTTACCTAGCTAGCTAGTTTGTGCCTGTTATTTTTCCAAGTCAGCGTCTTCTCCCTAAAGATGTTGCAAGGAAAAAAAAACCATCCATCCATCTCATATTTCTTCCGTCTCAGTAGCTTACTGAAAATGGGTTATTCTACTGTCCCCAACATTCAATCCTCCGCTCTCTCTCTCTCCAACAAACAAACACACAGCCAAAGTCCCACTTACGTACTTACTACCTAGGCCCCCACATCCATCCCTAACCCAATCCACGTCTACATAGCACCGCACATGCAAGCCCAGCATTGGCACCATAACATGGTTATTTGGGAAAATCGCACAAGAACGTCACACTTTGATTTAATTTATCAGTGCCGTCGATTTCACCTTCTCACGCTGTACAAGCAGACCTGCTGGTAGAAAAGAAAAACAAACGATGAGAGTGTCCTACGCCTTTCTTCTTCTTCTTCTTCTTCTTCTTCTTCTTCTTCTTCTTCTTCACAGGGATGGCCCACGCAGCGATCCGATTTGGCTGCAGCACTGTATCTGTCCAGCGGTTGGATCCGCTTGTGGAGCCGGGACGTGTGCCGTCGTCGCATGTATGTTTATTGCTCAACCGTTTCTTTCTCTTTCTTCTACCTATCCTTGTTCGTATTTCCATTCTTATTCTATTTCATGTCTTTTCCTCGTCCATCCATCCATCCATCCATCCAAGTAGCCAGCCATCTGCATATAAAGCAACAGCACTAATAAATATATTCGTCATGTACAGGTCCATCAGATCGTCGGTACGTCATCCTCCACTCACTATCGCTAAGTCGCCATGAGTAGACCTGGCATTTTCCATCCAAGTCGATATTAACGTATAATGCAATATACGTGGTAATGCATTCAACGCGACGATGAAGGGAGATATCGGAGAGCAAGCGACTTGTACAACGTGTGCTTATACCGAGGGTATGTATCTATGTCTGCAATACTCTTAACGCAAACCCCCACCACTCTCCTTCTATTATCGTCTCTGCTTCTAGCAAGGCAAAGTAGGGGATATGTGAAGCAAGACTGCAACATGTGAAGAAAAAAACGTGTAAATGATAATCAACGAGCTTGTATGCAGATTTCTCCGAATTACTGGACTGCAGCCTTGTACTTTCGCCATCAAAACGCGTCGTACAAACGCGTTCCCATGTATTACAATGCGCAGCTGGGTATCTATGTCTCGCATGCCTTGAACACCTTTGCAAAAAAAAATCTAAAGAGAGAGAGAGAGAGAGGTTCCGAGTACAAGGTGAATTTATCAGCTGATTGGGGCTGGCTGATCGATAGCAATGCAGGTTTCGACGGCTCAAATGCAGACAATATCAACGGCGGAATGACAATTTATTACACGCAAAAAAGACTTTAACACCTCGGATTTGGACCACCCGGTTACTGCGTTTCCGCCTGTACGTACAAATATCTCCTTTTCCCCGACCTTCTTTCGGCCTTGCGAGCACCACTTGATACAGTTATGGAGAACTGGCAAGTAACGTCTTTTGATGTGGATACTGCAGGGCTTCCGCATGACAGTCGGCAACCCCACGACCACGACGCCGAATGCAACCAAAAAGGGGGGACTCGCGTATACTTGTCTCGAGACGATTCTCACGCGTGGCTTCGAAACGCCTGATTTTCCCAAGACGCCAGTGTCCAGCGGGCATCATGGCCATACAGGTATGTGGTATTTCAGGCTTCACTTGCTATTTACTATACACACAGCTCGCTGACATGGTACTAGTAAGCCAGCTACACACACCCGCATATATATATATATACAAGTATGCGTTGAAACTCGTCAGATACTGACAATGCAAGCCACTTCCCCTCGTGCTGGGACGGCAAAAAACCTCGATTCCCCTGACCACCAATCCCACATGTGGTCGACGACGCGCCGGGGGCTTCTTACCCGCAGGCCCGTGTCCGGCGTCACATGCAGTGTGCATGCCGCAGCTCGCCTACGAAACCATGTGGAATACGACTGGCTTCAACGACATGTGGCCGGCGGACGGGTCGCAGCCGTTTGTGTGGAGCTACGACGATACCAGGGGCTACGGCACGCATGCAGACTATGTGTTTGGGTCGAAGGCCGATAGCCTGCAGAGGGTTATGAATGATAGTTGCATGTTTCATTTTTGTGCGAGTCCTGGCGTGCAGGGCGTGCTGAAGACGCAGACGGTCGAGGACATGAATGCGTGTCGGGTGGAGAGTACTGTGTATGAGGATGTCGAGGGGTGGCTGGATTACTTGCCGGGTATGGAATGAGTGTTTGTACATGGAGGCGGTTGAGTTGGAATTGGGTCAAGGTAGGTCGATGATGGACATGTGAAATTGCCTACAGCAGGGGTATATACGTAGTTGGAATTGACGGAAGAAGAGGTTTAGATCTGACACTCATTGCCCTTGGTCCTCGCGGTCTCGGTTGGGGCTTCAGCTTCGGCTTCGGCTTCGACTTCGACTTGGACTCCTTGGTGTGCTGCGTCTTGAGCGGCGCTCACCCGGGCTGCGACTGCGAGTACTGCTTCGATGCCGGCTGTCATAGCTTCTGCTTCTACTGCGACGTCCACTATCGTAGCTCCGACTCCTGCTCCGACTATAGCTGCGACTCCTATAGCTCCTCTCACTTCCATCGCTCCTCCTATCCATATCCTCATCCAGCTCGTCCACCTCATCCCCCAGCGGGCTTTCCCTCGGATCCAGCATGTCCAGGTCTTCCAGGATGGCCCTCGACGGCAACTTCCACAAGCTTGTCGCGCAGATGCGGTCTCTTGTGAGGAGATCGTCTATGAACTGGTCGACGTGGGTCAGGGTAAAGGTGTCCTTGAGGCGGCGCTTGATCTTGCGGTAGTCGGTGAGGAGAGGCTCGAGCGTCTTGTAGATTTCCACCGGCTCCCAGGCGAGGCGAATGTAAAAGGCAGCGAGACAGCGCAGGTACTTGAAGCAGCCCAGTTTGCCTGCTGCATTCAAATCCGTGTCCTTGGCAGCGTCCTCATCGTCCTGCTCGTCCGCGTCCTGCTTGTCCTCGTCTTCATCGTCGCGGAAGTTGAGGTACTCGAGTATAATGGCCTTGTCGGGAACCAGCTGCAGCAGCTTAAACGCCAGACACAAAAAGGGCGTCGGCTTGCCCGTGATGCCCGTTGTGCCGCCGATAAACTTGAGCTCCGCCGCGCGATCGCATAGGGTTGCTGCGTTCAGGCCAAAGCACTGCTCCTTCCAGTAGTACGACTCGGTGATGCGCTCGCGCACACCCTTTTCAAACAGAAGCGCGGGGTTCTGGCCGCGGATGAGGGAGCCGCGGTATCCCCGGTCGTCGAGGAGGGCGCTCGCGTCGGCGCGGTCGAATTGCGGTTTTGACATTGCTGGTGAGGTGGTTCAAGGGCGATGCTGCGCGCGCGCGTCGTCTCGGCAATGGACGTGGCAGGGCAGGCAAGGCAGGCTGGGATAATTCGAGCCAGGGTGGTGCCGGCTATCGATTGTTGCCCGCTCAACCGTGCTCAACATGCAGCCCTACCGACATCTAGAAGTCGGGGGCACGTCACTTGGATGCACATCATACGCCTGCACAAGTCACTCGGCCTTTCATTCATTCCACATGCCCTTTTGTCGAATCCCCACGACTTTCGATACCCCGTTGTATTCTGCCCTGTCGCCATGGGCCGCCTGCTCCTCACGTCGGGCCAGGTCTCTGTTCTCCTGTCCGTCACCATTGGTATGTCAGACGGGCATGTTACAACCCCGCAGCTGACCGACGGCCTCGTCTAGTCTTCTTCTTCACATTTGCCCTCTTCTTGTCGGGCTGGGTGCTGCAGCAGCGCTATGTGCACTCGCTCCAGGCCGCCATCAAACCACGGCTCCCCAAGCCTCTCCCCCCGCCCAAGCCCATAGAGCCGCCGACATTGGACGCAAAATGGGCGAGGCCCATGGGCGGGCGGCCAGAGGTGGACGACACGTATGCGCAGTACATTGCGGGGCAGACGATGGACTGGAGCCGGCTGGGCTATGTGCAGGTGGTGCGCGAGCATGTGGAGCTGTGCAGCGCCGTGATGCTGCTGTCGGACCTGCACCGCATGAAGAGCCCGGCACGGCGCATCCTCATGTTCCCCAAGCTGTGGCTCAAGGAGTCGGCCGACAACAAGTACAGCGCGGAGATGTCGACGACACGCAGACTGCTGGGGACGGCGGTGCGGCGGTATGGCGTGACGCTGATGCCCATGGAGCCCATTGTCGAGGGCGCCGACGGTGAGTGTGGCGAGAAGCGGTGCGTGTGCGTCACTCACGATTGCAGGCACTCTACCGTCGTCGTACTCGCTCGCCAGCCTCTATTCGCTGGTCGAGTATGAGCGGCTGCTGTATCTCCAAGGGCCGGGCGTGCTGCTCGACGCGTCTGCCCTCGACTCGCTGCTCGCCTTCTCCAAGTCGGAGCCCATGGCCGCATACCCCGCAACGCCCGAGCGGACCGACATGTCGACGTCGCTGCTCATGATCCATCCGTCGCAACAGAGCTACAACCAGCTGCGGGCCCTGCGCGCGTCCAAGCCAACGTCGGACCTCAACATGTTCCGCAAGACCTTCGCCGTGCCCGACTCGCTCATCTCCGAGTGGTCGCTGTCCATGGGCAACGTCGTGTACGAGTCGCAGAAGCTGCGCAGCGCGCCCGACAGCTTCAACGCGACGGCCTTTGAGCAGGCGACGACGTTTGTGAGGCTGTCGGACCCGGAGATTCCCGGGCCCGAGTACGACGTGCCCTACTCGGAGCGCGCCAAGCTGCGGCCGCAGAACCAAGAGGCCCAGGAGGCGTGGAGCAAGCTGTACGAGCGATTCCGCCAACGGCGCATGGAGGTGTGCGGGCTGGATCTCGAGACGTATCAGCCGGTAATGGTCACGGGTGGGGCCGGTGAAACGAAGGCGGCGGGGGACGAGCTATGAAACAGCAAAACTTTTGTTTTGTCCCCAGCCACGTCTGCGCTTGGGGACGGCAACGGGGTTGGTGTCTGTGACGAGTGGGGGGGAGGAGGAGCAGGAGGAGGCAGTTTGTTTTTTTGTTTTTTGTTTGCCTTTTCTTTTTGACGACGATGATGATTGTTATGACGATGGCCATGTTTGCACATGGGGACAGAGTTGCAGTGTCACGATGGAGCTCGGCTTGGCGGGGATTGCTGGGGGGGTGCATGAAATCGGGGCCAGGCTGTTTGCAGGATAGCAAGAATAGCAATGGGACAGGCCATGGCGACGGCTAAGATGCGGGAGTGGGAGCCATGTTCCTTGATGCTGGGATTGCCACGGTACGCATGACGCAACAAGCGATGGGTTCCGGCGGTGCTTACGGCGAGGGCGGCACGATTGCGGCGATGACGCGCTGGCGGCGGTGAGTGGTGGGATGGATAGAGGCAGAGGAGGAGGAGTAATAGTAGTAGTAGAGTGGTAATGGGGGTAGAGGAGAGTAGTGAGGGCAGGGCAGGGCAGGGCAGGGCAGGGCAGGGCAGAGTAAGGTGTAGTCCATGTGCCGTGATTGCAGCGGCGTCCCAGGGCGCCAGGCCCGGCATTCATACATCGATCGATATATGCACATAGATGGATGGATACATATATGCATACACACATATCTATGTACGAGTACAAGCAAACATGCTGCAGCACCACTGAAACGGCGACTGGGCAGCGTGTGGAGCCGTGGATGCCTCCTGCTCATGCCCATGCCCGGCCTCTTCTTCTTGTTCTTGTTCTTCTTCCTGTTCCCCGCCGAGCATGCGCCCGCCGCCACCCTCGTCTTCGTCTTGGTCGTCGTCTTCATCGCCATCGCCGTCGCCTCACTAGTCGGCCGCAAACACTGCTACTACCACTACCACGCCCACTCCCACCACCGCCTTAGCTGCCCCTACCCGGCCGGCCGACAGCCCATGCCCATGCCCATGCCCATGCACGGCGGCGGCCCTCAGCACTCCCACTACTACTAATAGAACTAGACCAAGACCAAGACCAAGGCCAGGCGCATCAATTGCCTGCTTCCCGCCTGCGCCGTCTGCATCTGCACCGCCGCCCCAGCGCCCCTCGCCTGCCCTACGACGTCTTTGTTGCTTTGTTGTTTTCCCACTACCGCCGCTCCGTCGCCCGCTACCACAACCACACCCACCACACCCACTCGCACCCGCACCCGCACGCCCAACGCCAACGCCCACGCCCACACCCACGCCCAAACGCCCACGCCTGCTGCTGCGCTACGGCCATCGCCCGAGCTGCGTCCAGGTACACGTAGCGCAGGGCCGCTGCTCCCCCCCCCCATCCCGCCCCTCCAATGCCTACCCTGGGCTTCCTCAAGAAGAAGCGGACGAAGGACTCGAACGGCTCCAAGGACCTCGACTCGCCGACTTCGCCCATCAAGGACGCCTCGGCCATCACCTCGCCCGTCACCCCCACCGGCTCGCGCAAGTCGGGCTCCTTCCACCTGCACAAGACCAGGACCAGCGACTCGGCCAGCGCCCACAGCCATCACCACCTCGCCGCCGACGCCAGCGCCGCCAACACAAACACCTCCGCCTCGTCCACTCCCCCGGCCTCGGCCGTCGCGCCTGCCGCCTCCCCCACCCCAGCCGACTCAATGAACTCCGCCCACGCGCAACAGCAGCAGCAGCAGCAACCGCAGTACGCGGCCAACCCCCAATCCGCCCCCCACCCGCCCTCGCGCAACACGCCCAGCATACAGAACCTGATACACCCCAACAACACGTCGTCGCACCAGTCGTCCGCTAAGAATGGCGCCGTCCACTTCCAGACGCAGCCCCTCAACCAGGCCCGCGTCACAAAGGGCAAGTACTCGCTGACCGACTTCACCATCCAGCGCACCCTCGGCACGGGCAGCTTCGGCCGCGTCCATCTCGTCCAGTCCAAGCACAACCAGCGCTTCTATGCCGTCAAGGTGCTCAAAAAGGCCCAGGTCGTCAAGATGAAGCAGGTCGAGCACACCAACGACGAGCGCCGCATGCTGCAGCAGGTCAAGCATCCCTTCTTGATTACCCTGTGGGGCACCTTTCAAGACTCCAAAAACCTCTACATGGTCATGGACTTTGTCGAGGGCGGCGAGCTCTTCAGCCTGCTGCGAAAGTCGCAGGTATGTTTCTTCTTTTTGTTATTATGATTATCTACTTCCCACTGCATCTACTGACTGCTGCAGCGCTTCCCCAACCCAGTCGCAAAGTTCTACGCCGCCGAAGTCACGCTCGCGCTCGACTACCTGCACTCGCACAACATCATCTACCGCGACCTGAAGCCCGAGAATCTGCTGCTCGACCGCCATGGACACCTGAAAATTACGGATTTTGGTTTTGCCAAGGAGGTGCCCGACATTACATGGACGCTGTGTGGTACACCCGACTACTTGGCGCCCGAGGTGGTCGCATCCAAGGGCTACAACAAGTCTGTTGACTGGTGAGTGGGCACGACAACCCTCGTTTCTGCAGCGCCTACTAATACCGCAAGGTGGTCGCTCGGTATCCTCATCTTTGAAATGTTGTGCGGATTCACGCCCTTCTGGGACGGCGGCTCGCCCATGAAAATCTACGAAAACATCCTCAAGTCGAGAGTCAAGTACCCGCCTTACATCCACCCCGACGCGCACGACCTGTTGCAGAAGCTTATCACGCCTGATCTCACCAAGCGCTTGGGCAACTTGCACGGCGGCAGCAAAGACGTCATGAACCACCCTTGGTTCGCCGAAGTCACTTGGGACCGGTTACAAAAGAAGGACATTGATGCTCCCTACGTTCCACCTGTGCGCGCGGGCGTCGGCGACGCTAGTCAATTCGATAAGTATCCGGAAGAGACGGAGGCATACGGTCAAGCAGGGGACGACCCGTGCGTGCAGAGTCCTCCTTACACTGTAGATCATATTCTGACATGTCCGAATAGCCACGGACACCTGTTTCCCGACTTCTGAGCATACGAAGCTGTCAACTTTCGAAACACAATGCGATCTAGCCTTTCCTCCAACGAGTGACCTGCGCACGGCAATTTCCTGGTAGAGCAAAACGTACCCGTCGAAAGTCCGCAGCCATTGCACCTCACCAAAATTCTTTCTACATGACCCTCAGCATCTCGACCTACGCGCAATGCGGCTTTGCGTGTATAATCCTGTCTGACCTTTCGTCTTGTTACTATTGCTACTATTGCTATGCTTGCTAGTCATTGGGCTTGCACTCACCTGGATATGATGTTGCTTGGCCCAATCCATAATGCCTGACGAGTGCATAGTGTTGTCTTTGTGTGTTATTCTATGGTATGGTAGGGGGGGGTTTATTGGTTCACGCATGTCGCATACCTGGCGCATACTGAAAAGGCGGGAACATGAGCAATGCAAGGCTAGGCCGGCAACATCAATGCTACTATGAGCTCCATTCTGAAGTGACATGGCCGTATACGTCGAGTAGTCATGTAGAATGAGATGGAGAGTACAAATGTTATATTATTAACCCAATTGTATTCACGGGGAAACACGTTGACCAGTCTCTGTGCGCTCCAAATTAACACCGACAGTCAAAGAGCCTACCTTGTAGTAGGTTTCATGGTAACGACTCAGTGTATATGACGAAACGATAAGGAACAAGCTTTATATCAAAATTCGGGTAGAGTTGTAGTGCATCGGTCTTGTATATCACTACCTATGCTGATGTCAAGCTCCCGTCTGGCCCGGCGCTAGATCGCCGCTCTTACCAAATTTAAGTCGAGCTTGGAGATGCAAGAAGAAATCCTGACGGGTCCTTGAGGTAATCATTCAAGTGCGAGGCTGCTTAACCTCGTCATGTTCCGCGGACTCGAGCAATGCGTCATGTTGGCAAACAAAAGGCGTCTTGGTGATGACTTGCCAGCCAACATGGTAGCCAGCATAAAGACGAAAAATCAGGTCCACGAAGAGTTCCTTTTTTTCCCTCCCGAAAGCTCATCTTGCGAGCCGTTGCAATCTTCAGGCGAATCTACTGTGGTTGAGTTCCAAATCTGTACGAAGCATGACATCACACGTGCGCCAAGACGCTAGAGAAAACGCGGGGATCGCCCAGGGAAAGAACCGTGGAAATGGCTATGGCGCGACATCAACATCATGGCATCTTGCCGGAAAAACATGTCCAGTCAATGGAAATCTACCCAAAGGGGAACATGACTTGATCGAATGGGAGGATTTGTGTGAGTTGTCCCCCTCCATCCGCACTGCTCATCACGGCAACCCTGTTCATGCTGTTTAGTACACTGGCAACGTGACAACGAGTTTATACCTTCAAGCTATCGGTGAGCCTTCCAGCTTCCTCAGACAAGACAGACGTTTGACACGAAGACCAGACGAGCGACATTTTCCTGCTACCGTTCTTTGCAGAGCGTCTTCCGTCTCCACAATGAAACAGTGAACATCTGGTCTCACATCCTAGGCACTATTGGCTTCCTTTGTGCCCTGGGTGTCTTGGTTGTCTTCATCCAACGCGAAGATGTGGAGAGCGCAGATCATCTCGCGGTGCTGATCTACTTTATATCCGTCATTGCATGCTTTTTCTTGTCCATTGTGTAGGTCATCTTTTCTCTGTCATGCCCAAAGTAGGAGAGTGGACTGACACCAAAGCATAGGTACCACATCTTCCTGGATCACAGCCAATATATTCGGACATGGACCGGCCGATTGGACTGCCTTGGCATCGTAGTACCTCTCTGGGGCACCACCATAGCAAGCACGCACTTTGGCTTTTACTGCGAATCCACCTTGCGTGAGGGATACGGCATCGCCGCCACAATTGCGGGCCTTGCCTGTGCAGTCACGACACTGCATCCCTCTTTTTGCGGCCCAGCTTCCCGGCGGTTCCGAACAGCAATGTATCTTCTCCTCGGCCTTTCCTCATTCCTGCCCATCGTTCACGGCATATGTCTCTTTGGGCTTGGCCAAATGGAGTGGAGAATGAGCCTGTCCTACTATCTCGCACTCGGCCTCTGTCATGGCACGGGTGCGATGGCATATGCCACCAGGATACCAGAGCGATGGACTCCAAGACGGTACGATGTCGTGGGCAACAGCCACCAGATAATGCATCTGCTGGTTGTGTGTGGTGCGGTGGCGTACGGGCTGGGTGTGCTCAAAGCCCAACAACATTGGGCAGGCTTGGGCTGTGCAAACGTCGTCTGAGGTAAGTGTATTGTCTCATTCCTTGGATAAGGCATTCTCGAAATCTGCCTTGTAAACCGACGTTCGGAGACCTTATCGAGCCACCGCCATGCCGCGGCGTACCTAGTAACAATACATCGAGTCTGAAAGATGTTAGCATCTCCGCGGTTTCAACTTACCCAGACCTGCCCCACAATCAACAAAGGGCCCACCGACACCTCGCTGGAAACTCTTCGTCCCCGGAGATGCTTGATTCCAACTGCACTCGCACACTCGCTGGTCGTTTGCCCGTCATTTCTCCGATTATGCTGCTCCGATACCGCGAGGGCTGCAAGCCTCTTTCACATGCTAGCGACTAGACAATGACTCCTCTCACCGATTCGAGAAGCACGGGAGAACGACTCGACGTGCGTCCGGCGGCCCGAGTGCCTCTCTCCCAAGTTTTGAAGGACCTTGGCGCGGTGAAGACCAACGGCACACGAACCGACATGACGATTCCCCAAGCTTCTGGGCATACTGACAGTCATATACGTCTCCAGCATACGGATAGCTATCAATTTCGCCTCTGTGTGTACGCACTCATGTCGGAGCGACACTGCAGTCATGCGAGATAAGGCATTCGCCCCCCTACCGATTGGCCCGACACTAACTCATAAGCGACGGGTTCTGATACAGGAACAGATCACCATTAAGCAATCCATGTCGAGCCCAAGCCTACGCTTGCAGGAGTCGGGCGACACTGCGCTGACAGTTGTTCGATGGTGCGTCCAGGTGCATCAGCCTGTCCTGCTTATCATTACATGTCTCCATTTGCACGCGGTAGACAAGTACGCTATCGTGACACCCACCACATGGCCCTGCGCCATTTACACACTGCAAAAGTAAACATTTGTCGAGGAAGCGTGCCACGGGCAGTATCTGAGGTTGTGCTGAGGGCTGGGCAGGACTAGCGCTCTGGTCCAACGCCACAGCCCAGAAGTCAAAGTCGCGGCCGCGTGCGGGACAGCGAACGACAGTATCTCGAGACTCGTTACACCATCATGACCATGGCCAACATGCTGACCGCGGAAAAGCAGCAATTGATATTATCGCAGGCAGTTCTGATAAGCACCCTTGCTGGGCTGCCAGTTTCAGTCTAGTGTCGCATGGGTAGCGCCAAGAGATAAGAGAACGCCTTTGCCGTCCCCCACCATCCCGCGTCAATCCTCAGCCGCAGCAAGTCAAGGCCCGTCACAGCAGTATTCCACCCTTTCTTTCCTCCTTTTTGCCAGATGACCTTGAAATGCAATTCGCTCGACGGCCATGTGGACCCCAAGTTAAACGCCTGAATGCTGATCGGAGACATCTTCCACACCTCGCAACACACGCCCTAGCGTGCTTTTGTTCAAAGTGCATGCATGCACTACCCTCCAGTGCTGGGGTTGCCGACACCGATAACGATTCCACCTCCATTACCGCATCTAGATACGGAGAAGTCTGATCTCACCTTGGACCCCCTGGGGTTGATTCCCGCCACAGGCTTGTCGTGGTCGTGGTCGTGCGTCACTGTACTTGACCGCGGAAGTGTCGCAATTGCCATTTTGTGCATCCCATCTATATAACTTCTCGACTGCCGTTTGTGGAGTACCCCAGCAGCAATCACCAGCACTCACTTCACTGCCTCCAGTCAGTCTGACACACTGGTCGTCGTCTACATCAGAGCTTGCATCGCAGCGGAACAGGCGCTCGGCACCTCTCCATCATGCCTTTTGCTCTCCATCTGCTCTGGTCAGCGCCAGAAGTCAACCCCTACAACCAAAAGGCCAGGTCGATTCCTGTCCTCAACCCCATCAACAAGTATGGGCGCGTCTTCTTCTTTTCGTACATGGGCTTCTTCATCGCGTTCTGGTCATGGTGAGTACTTTCTCCACACGTGGTCCGCTCGCCCCACAGCATACTTACGGTGATCAGGTACGCGTTTCCGCCTCTGGTATGGTTGCCCGTCCCCTTGCGCCACAGTGTATGACAGTATCAACTAACCCCTCCAAAGCTAAGTAAGAGTATCAAAGCCGATATGCACCTCACTCAAGATCAAATTGCAAACTCCAACATTGTAGCACTCTGTGCCACGCTATTGGTCCGCTTCATTGCCGGGCCCATGTGCGATCACATTGGTCCGCGCATGACCTTTGCGGTGCTGTTGTTTGCCGGCGCTATCCCTACTGCCCTTGCTGGCACAGCAACAACCGCCACAGGCTTGTATTGCATCCGCTTCTTCGTCGGAATTCTTGGCGGTACCTTTGTGCCTTGCCAGGTCTGGAGTACTGGGTTCTTTGACAAGAATGTCGTTGGAACAGCCAACGCCCTGGTTGGTGGCTGGGGTAACTCCGGAGGTGGTATCACATAGTATGTAGATTCCCGGCGCACGTTGCAGCCTCTGCTAACAATTCCAGTTTCGTCATGCCAGCCATCTACGATTCCCTCAAGAAAGAACAAGGCCTGTCCTCGCACGTAGCCTGGCGAGTCGCCTTTATTGTTCCGTTCATCATGATTACCGCTGTTGCCCTCAGCCTCCTGCTCTTGACAGACGACACTCCCACTGGTAAATGGTCCGAACGTGGCGCCACACTCGAACACAGCGACCGCACCAGCTCCTCCGTCGTGCCTACAGCCGGTGCTCTCGACTCAATGCCCGCAACCACTGGCACCTCCATCTCTTCCGCCGACGAGAAGAAGCAACCGCAACCCACCACAGATGTCGAAACTGGTCGTGGCGATGTTCAGGCTATTGACGAGTTCCAACACGAAGTAATTGTTAAGCCAACTTTCAAGGAATCGTTGAAAGTCATGGGCTCTCTGCAAACTCTCACGCTTTGCGCGGGCTACTTCTGCTCCTTTGGTGGCGAGCTAGCCATCAACTCAATTCTCGGCGCCTACTACCTCAAGAACTTTCCCTACCTGGGTCAAACACAGTCTGGCCGATGGGCTGCCATGTTTGGACTGTTGAACGTTGTGACGCGCCCTCTTGGTGGCGTGATTGCTGACTACCTCTACAAAGTCACTGGTCACAACCTGTGGGCCAAGAAGTTCTGGATCCACTTTGTCGGCGTCATGTCTGGTGTACTTTGCATCGTTATTGGCAAGGTTGACTCCAAGAACCTTGATGAGATGATTGGGCTCATCGCCGTCATGGCTATCTTCCTTGAAGCTGGCAACGGCGCCAACTTTGCCTTGGTACCTCATGTCCATCCTCATGCTAATGGTAAGAGATTTGTTAGCCTGTCATAATGCGCCAGTGACTAACAGTATTCAAGGTGTTCTCTCCGGCATCGTCGGTGCGACTGGCAACTTTGGTGGCGTCATCTTCGCCATCATCTTCCGCTACCACAAGACCAACTACGCACAGGTCTTCTGGATCATGGGCATAATGATTATCGCGCTCAACTGCATCTTCTTGTGGGTTAGGCCCATTCCTAAGAGCCAGATTGGTGGCCGATAAGGATTGTATTACTTGTTGTTCTTTTCGGCATTATGATAGATGAGATACCTATGTTGTTTGTGTGCGTGTAACTTTTGAATGAATCAAAATTTCATTACCTTTTTAGCATGGTATTCATGTATTGGCTTCGCATGAAAAATGATGTGTTTGGGAATATCCAGCGGCTTCCTGTTTCCCGTGCCGACTGGGCTGTGCAATTTGCAGAATGCGCTAGGCAAAATACATCCTAGTCTCAGAATTGCACTTTGGGCTCGGCTTACTGCTAACCGCCTGCCTACTTTTGCACTCTGCTTATTGTCGAAATGGGGCTATGTAGACTACATAACCCCGGAAACGCACAAAAGGTGCCATAGTCGCTGTCTCTTTGCATCTCATATCGCGTCTTTCGCTCATTTCTTTCGGCTGGTTGTCGCCTAATCTTCCTTCTGCACCTCCAATGTGCACACTGCGTATCTATTACTTTTACTCCGCACATCACCCAGAATTGCATCCCTAGACCACAGAACTACTAGATCATCATGACCAAAGATTGGGACTTGGTTCAAGATGAAATCAAGGAGCTTTCGTTTGCGCAGAAGAAGCCGCTTGAAGAGGTCAAGGAGCTCATGGAACGAAAGTACAAGTTTTATGCTTCGTAAGTGGTGTTGCATTTCTGGCGATGTTGTTGGAGTACTGGCTGATTTCAAATCCAGGACTAGGGCGTATCGGATGAAGTTGAAGGAATGGGGCCTCATGAGACACAAACAGCGAAGCACAAACAAAATCCGGCATGCGACTAGGCATACAAGCAAAGATGCTACTGTTGACAACGCCGGGTGTGAGACAGATGCTATTGCAGTAGATCAACAAACTCAAGAGGATGGCGCAAAGACTAGTGATTGGCAGCTTGTTGCCAGTCAGCCGAGCTTAGTCGCCGATGGACCTGACGAGGTTACTGAGCACATGTTCGCAGGGCTTCTGGACCAGCCTGTAGAGTAAGACCCCCATCAAGGCTATCATTCAGTTGAATTGGTACTGAATTACGACTGTCCAGTCTCCAGATATCCATGGATACCTGGTCGACAGATTCTACTCAGCCATCGGACACAGTATTGGACATGGTCGAAGCAATCCTCGATTACGACCTGGAGAGGTTAGGAAAGCTCTTGGTTGACAACATCGAGCACATCAATGAACCCATCGGTTCAACGTTATTCGGGCCTACCGGTCGCTTCTTCGGTCACCCTGCGCTAAGCCAAATGGTCATCCTGCAGCATGCCGGGCAAACCTTGTTCGATATCGCATGCGGCCTGCCCTGCGGCCCAGTTGCCTGGATGTTACTTACATATGGTGCAAAAGGTTCCAAACACCCGCTCGGCTCAGACCTGGCTTTGCATAATGCCATCAAAAATGGACGAGTATATACTGTTCAAGTGCTGCTACAACCAGACCGCTCAGCCGTCAATGGCCTTCCTGACTCGAAGTGGACGCCGCTTCGCCAGGCCGTGTTCTGGATGCAGCCAGAAGTAGTCCGCGTGCTTCTGAGGCGAGGAGCGACTGTTGAAGATGCAGGACCTCCACCCGTTCAGTCAGGTTTAAATTCGCCTCTACAGCTGTGTCTGGTGCGCCGGGAAACCAACTACGCTGATCCATCTTATCGCACACGATGCCATCAGATTCTTAAACTCTTGCTCGACGCAGGAGCAAATGTACACGTCACATCTCCAGACCCCATGGTTCAATCCACTTTTGAGTCATTCATAAGGCCATGGACAAGTCGCCCATATTGGGGATTTGAAATCTCCCAGGAAGAGCTCGAGTGTTTTGGAATGTTTGTGAGCAGAGGAGCCAATCTTCAGTTACCGTTTCACGGAGTTCCCTGTCAATCTGCTACCAAGGAAACGTTTGTGCATCAGGCAATTTGGCACTCTTCGCCAACTTTTGCCAGATCGCTCATCGACAACTTTGTGCCGTCGGCTAGTGGCAATGGCATGGCTCTCCTGCAAGAAATCCTCGGCAGTTGTCCAGATGCGAAGCGACATCCCACCGATACACTGCGAGATATGCAGGTTCTACTTACAAAAGTTGTTAATCCAAACCGTACAGGCCAAGATTTGATCAGCCCCTTGCGCAAGTGTATCACAGATTGCCCTGCTGTCGACCTTGTTGCTCGCCTCCGGGTTCTTCTTGATGCTGGCGCGAACCCTGAAGCTCAAGACCCAGATGGGGTGCAGCTATATGTTCTTGCAGCGGAAACCTTTGACGAGCCTCTGCTGTCTGAGGTCATGTCGATTCTGGTCGCCAAGATTCCCGGAAGACATGTTCGCGTGGTCGATGCCATGTCTTACCAGTGGACTGGGAACATTTTCCCGATATCAACCACACAAACATATGAGCAGGTCATGTCATGCTCGCGGCTGACGGGCGAATTTGCGATTTGCTTGCAGGATATGGTGCCTGAACATGTTCGAGCCGTCTTCCACAAAGCATACTTTACGATCGCCAGCAACTACTTTCTTGATACGATGACTCGGCTGGCAAGAACAAGAATGCTAGATGCTCAGGAGAAGGAAGAGATTACGCAAATCACTTTGATGCGTGAAACTGCGGGCGTCCCGGCATACAAGTTCGAACCAGATCTCGTCGTTGCGTTGCTGCACATGCAACCTTCAAACATGATGCTCGAAGTCGATGACCACCTGTCTACCGGGGATGAAATCTGCTCTAGTCCGGTTTCTTCTTTCGACGACACTCCAGCTTCAAGCATGACACTGGACACCGCTACTCCTGCCGCTTCGAGCCATACTCCTTTCCAATTTAACCCCAACGGCACTTCGACACTCGATATTCCTCGATCAGCACCCACTTCTCCCCATCCAAGTGATGACTTCTTCGTAACATCTACAACAAAGATACGCTGGCCTGATCCCTGCGTAAAGACTAAACCAAGCGAGATGCAGTTTAGAGTGGAGTGTGTGTTGAAACACGAGTGCGCGATTTGCAACGACGGAAAGTTGTTGACGAAGAAGGAGCTGGAAAAACATGACACGGAACATGAACACACTGCGAGCTGCACTGAGACTCTCTGTACAAGACGGTTCTGTGTTGCAAAGAGGAGATCGACATGTGAAGACCACCTGTTTCTGGGAAACGTGTGAGCAGCAATGGGCGACTACTTTGCGAAAACGCGACTTATACCAATATTCGGTCTGACTTCCACAAAAGAGTGACTTCGCTGCTCCCTTTACATTTCCAGAATACCCATGCGCGTATTCCATCATCGCATGAATTGCTCAAACCGTTTTCGACCCTCGGGTAACCCCCATACAGGGGTACCGGGTATCTGGAACTTCTAATCGGGTCTTGCGTAACCAATAGCACCCCAGTACGAAGCCTCTACACCGGTAGCGTCCTTCAATTGCAAGTTTTATTCCTTGGATTTCCTCTCCATGACGTTATTCTGCTCTTTCCAAGTCCAGACTGCAGCAAGGGACGTCTTAAGAGCCCCAAATGGTGCAGTGTACACGGCACTAGATGGACTTGGAAAGGGGTAATGACGGATTGCGGGTCGCGGGACGCGGCATATCGGACATAATGTGCCAACCTACGTCATGTATATACCCCAGTTAGCCTTCGCCCAAGTAAGAAGTCTCTTGGATCGAACGAGTGTGGGTCCAATTGCAGAAACAGATTTGTTCATGCTGTTACAGTGAGAAATGCTTGCTGAGTATCGAGCACACCAAGTAGAACTGCAATGGGGTTTAATAGTAAATGTCCTAGCCAGCACAGCAGCGCTTGCGATGAGAAGAAAAAGAATGTTTCTTTGCTCGTAAGCAAGGCAACATGTCTACAACTTGACATGCGAAGCTCAACCTCCTTGTTTTTTCTATTTGCACCCCGCGGAACGACCACAGTTCCCGCGATATACCCTTGCATCTCATCATATCAATACAATTTAGTGTCTTTCGCTAATAAGCACCCACCAAGCTCACCAATCCAATCTCACTCAATACCCCTTGACATCAAGCGCATGAAGGAGAACATCCTGATGTGTCCGCATACCCGGTTCGCTAGTCTCTCTCTTTGCACCCATCGAGATCCGTGGAGGCTAGTTGAGATGGGAAAATGACGATGATAGCAGTGTCCATGTCATACATTGTGTAATGTTATTTTTGGGGCAAGGGCCAGAACGGCTGGATCCGAGATATGTTCGGTTAGACGAAGGATGCCAAATCCTGTTTTGATATCTACTCTGGTGGTCGTAGAGCTGTGATATAAGATATGTGCAGAGTCTTGTCTCTCATTTTCACTCGACAACAGACAGACAGACGGGACATATCTTATTCCTTTACTTAGCAATCGAACTACTCTTGATTACCGGGGACACAAAACCCTCGTATCCAACGATATTTCAACCTACTTACTTGTTTACTCGCTGCTTTCAAAGCATCAACAATGCGCTTCTCACACCTCGGCGTCTTCGCCCTCGCCACCGGCCTCTCCCTCAGCACACCCGTTTCCGTATCCCACTCGCCGCGCGCAGCAGACTCGACCGTAGAAAGCCTTTTGACGCAACTATTTGCCACGGTTCAAGTCTACACGGGCGCAATAAGTATGTGTTTCCCTAACTTGCATCATACCTCACCTTACCCTACCTTGCACACCCTCACTTCCATGCTCCGATAAACAGCCCCAGTAAGAACATGCAAGGACCTAACAAAAAGACACCAATATACAGACGCCACACTCGCGCCCCTCTCCCCCACCTCACCGGCATCGCAAAAAGCCCTCGCCGTCCCCAGGATCGGCGCCGAAATCTCAAAAATCACAGCGGCTGTACTCGGAACCGCGCACGAGATACAGAGTCTCGCGCCGCCGAATGCTACGCAACCTGTGCGCGAGGAGGAGGAGGAGGAGGAGGAGGAGGAGGAGGAGGAGGAGGAGGAGGAGGAGGAGGAGGAGGAGGAGGAGGAGGAGGAGAGCGAGAGCGAGAATGAAATGGAAATGAAGATGA